AAAACTGCTTTGAACGAACAAGCGTTCCACGATCGGTTCGAAGTTGTAGCGTGGTTATAAAACGTCAGTGACAAAATGGCCTCAGGAAGTGAGCAGAAGCCAGAACTAGTAATGACTTATACGCTAAATGGATCGAAAATTAAAGTTAATATAGGTACTTACAGAAAATCTGTGGTTAGTTAACATAACAGTATTAGTTTATTTACGTTCAGAGTTACAAAGTGCAACCTGTACAGAAAACCAAGCAACATAAATGATGGGTTTCGCGAGCCACGCTTTCTAGCACGATGCAGGAGATAAGGTAAATAGGCATTGGTCGCGATCCAATGATGGAGTGAGCAGAATGAAATTGAGACCTCTCATTAAAAATTGAAATGTGTTTTGATTGGTTGCAGTTAAATGTTTGTCAAGAAAATATTCTTTCCTATATTATTTTCACCTGTTTCACATGTGCTTACCGACCTTATTGAGAGTTTCTAATTGAGCGAACATTTTTATACCACCCTTCGCACATAATACGCGTTTCACAATTAGGCCGATTGCCATAACTTAAAGCACTCGATCGCCAAATATTAGCACCTTGAGTATTTGAATATTACGCTATCGGCACAGGAGAGCTACGCTTCTTTTCTTTTTGAAGAACACTGTAAGCAAAAGTTCGACTTTCATGTGATAGTCATAACAAAAACCGATTGCGATCACAAATAATATAAAGACGTAAATTATTAACGAAAAATTTATATGCATTTTATCCTAAACTTAATTATATAATATGATTTGAAGCACATCAATCTTTACACTGCAGAGATGCTTATCTGTCCTATTTGTTATAACATTGATAATGTGAATAAACTGCGATCGCGAGTTTATGCGATAATCCACTTAGCTTCGCGTGAAACATTAATACAACCTTGATGTGTGTGCGGCAATAGAAATGTTTATGATGACAACTATGGTGTAATTTATTTCAACTTGCGTCCATTTTGCGAAATCAATGAAAGAAAAAGAAGCATCAATATATACATAGCAAATTATAGGCACATACTATTAAGTTCTTATGCTTTCCAAGAAACTAGGAAACCACGGTGTGTTTCCGAAAAATGTAACTCGATTTCCCCGAATTTTGAAAAATAATGAGGAGAACCTAAAACTGTGGGAAATTTCCTCAGAATTCGAAAAGTCTGAAGCTTTATTAACGGAAGTATGAGGATTTCTACAAAGCTTCAAAAACTTCTGACGAAATTTGGTGAAAACACAAAATTTTCTGTTGCGGCTTCGCCGAAAATTTACGAAAACTGATTAGATTTTCTCAAAATCTGGTTTTTGGAGATATATTTGTGATGTAGTTGATTTGTCACGAAGTGTGAGATCTTACCTGATTAGTTATTGTGGAGGTTGCGAAGCCCGCTGTACCAAGTTGTAATTAGGTCAAAATACTGTAGGGCCAGTGAAATTCCACTGAGCCCTAGCCATCGAATATCGAACAAAATCATCAATCCTCGTCAATGTCAAGGACAACCAACGCGCATCAGTTAATCGTACGCCATGGACTGGCCCATGCGGCAGTGGTCTTACCTTCGCTTGTCTCTACTTTAACTAATATATTTCTGTGATAACGTCCTCTGTGTTGTACAGTCTTCAAAGCATCTATAGTACCTTGATACGTCAATGGGGTAATCTATGTAAGGTGCAGACCGCGAAGTGTGACTTCGACGTTAGCTAGTTTGTCACACCACTCACGTCTAACTCGAGTAAGCCTCCAATCATTTCGACATAGATCATCCACGCTGGTGATCTACATTGGTGAGCAAGACTGCGAATAACTCAACCTATCATTATAGTCTTTATTATTGCAATCTATACTTATTCTTTTCCATTTTTATCATCGCCTATGTTAATCTGTTACTGTGAACTTTCGTTGCTTCATGTCAATGTTGATTAGTATTTGAACTGAAATAACTAGTTCTGTAGGTAGAACTAACTAGTCAACTACGGTTATAATCGGCTATCGTGGCTCTTTAACAAGCATAAGCAGCATGTAAATGCTCCTGTGTAATATGTCTGTTAAAATATCAACCACTCGTGGGTATAGCCACAAGGCAACACGAACGCATATCGGTTTGTAACTTATTTAATAGTTTATGCGAGAAAAGATTAACTGTCGACTTTAAATTCGTCTTCCTGCTTAACCTCTATCCACTAGAATATTTCTATTTTTCACCACCGCCTGCCTAATTTCCAATTGCCGAGTTCCATGGCCAAACAGAGGATACAAATGCTAGAAATTTACGGTGAGTTCAAACTATAAATGTTCTGCAATCTCAGATCTCGGTTAGACTTCGTCAGGCAATGCTACGTATTTGACTTGAATTTATTCTGGACTTGTACTAATTCAGTCTACAACGCTGTGTTAATCGAAGAATCTAATCAACAGTACCTCGTATATAATCAAGATTTCAACTACTGTCCACTTCGTATCTTCATTACTTGGAAGCAAGAGTAACCCAGGCGAGATTCATAAAATCATTAGATTATTTCGTACTATCTTTATGATGCGTAATAACATTTCGTAGTTCCTTTCATGTTAAGTAGTCATATATTCTGTCACTTCCGTTAAGTGTTAGTCGAAATCATGTACATTTGTGACTCGTTAATCGACATACTATGGTAAAACATATTGCATGTACACGAACAATCTTATTTCATGTCCTGAGTAGACACTTTGTCGTACGTAATATGTCACTTAACGCTAGGTAACAAGCTCCTTGCATCAGCCTTGTACGAAATGGCCACGTTACCTGAACCCTGTAAACTTTAGTTACATTGGTGTTTACCATTTTTATTAATGTTTACTATACTCCTTGTATTTGCTATTATTTCACACGGTAAATCATGGCTCGATTTCCTTATTACACGACAGTCATTTTAATTCCATTTTCGATTTAACTGTATGCAATAATGGTTTGTAAAATATCTAAACGTCCTCGAAAATTCTCCACGAACCCAACCATAGTTTTTGTACATACTTTTCTCCAAACGTCCAACTGTTACGCTAATAATACCCAGACGAACGTTCAGCGCAACTATCAGTATACGTAAGAACGATGTTATTTAAATTTGACTTTATAATACATCCGAACTATTGTAGTTATTGTACTTTGATATCGTACTTTATATTATGAAGTATTTCCTCGTGTCTGGTATCTAAAAGATGATTTCGGTACATCGATCGGCTGCTCAACTATTCAATGATTAAAACCTGTCCAGTTCAATTGGTGATCTGACGACATTATCATCTGCGCGAATCATCAGTTTGTGCAGTCAAGCGAATCTCCTGCACACTGAAAACGACATTGTCGCCTCTATCCCAACACTGACAGCGTTTTTCACTGGTATCATTGACATGAGTCCAGAGTAACACTCTTGGTTTCTTATGGTCTTTTCGATATTTTTCTATTCGCTAATCGAACAAATAATCAGCAAGCATCGTTTATCATCTTTTGGAGACTTCACAGTGCCGTCTTCGCTCTGGATTTGTAGCCTTCGACCCGTACTGACTGTAACAGCAGTCACCGACTTTCAAAACTGACTATAAGTGGATTAATAGCCTCGCATGACGAAATCACGATTACTCTTCACGACTATACTCCTATATTACAGTTAGACTGTTAAATATAGATACAGCTAGAAGTTGTCAACGACACTGTCTGACATTCATCTTTAAATCAATGGCAATATAAACATCCGTATCGATTGATAATACACTTATCCTACTATCGCTATAGCATCATTGCTCTTGCGGCAAAGTTAATGTTTCTCATCTGAGGAACTCACTTACTTGTCAAAGCTATATACTTCAGCGCGACTTATGTTCTTTTTATTATTTCTATGGTTAAAGGCTTTACGTTCAACCAACGTTTTACTAACCTATTATTACTTGCTGTTTCTCGATCAGTTTCTGCCGCTTCGTTTCCATTTGTTTTGCAGCTCGGCAATACCCAGAGGATTCATATTAATCGTTTGGTAATCTCCGGCGCGCGACTACCGACATGTGTGGTACCGATTCAAACGGCCGTTGAATCTGGTGGGGGAGTATTGTAGGGCCAGTGAAATTCCACTGAGCCCTAGCCATCGAATATCGAACAAAATCATCAATCCTCGTCAATGTCAAGGACAACCAACGCGCATCAGTTAATCGTACGCCATGGACTGGCCCATGCGGCAGTGGTCTTACCTTCGCTTGTATCTACTTTAACTAATATATTTCTGTGATAACGTCCTCTGTGTTGTACAGTCTTCAAAGCATCTATAGTACCTTGATACGTCAATGGGGTAATCTATGTAAGGTGCAGACCGCGAAGTGTGACTTCGACGTTAGCTAGTTTGTCACACCACTCACGTCTAACTCGAGTAAGCCTCCAATCATTTCGACATAGATCATACACGCTGGTGATCTACAATACTTACTGATATAAACGTTGTCAAACTCACAATACTTGTGTCATGTTTAGAGCTATATATTTTGGGGACTTGTTTCCCACCACAAGTTTATGGTGCGTTGAAAGTGTGCGTTCCATGTAGATTTATAAAAACGTCAAGGATATGTTTTGTTAAGCAACCCTTTAGACTCAACGAAGCACGCGTTAAAGAATTAAACCACAAATATTTCGTAAATTACAGAGAATTTATTTGATGTTCCCAAGTATAAATCTCTGTATTTTGTATGTATTATTTTTCTTCCCCATCTACCCTACGTGTTTGCTATTTCACTGCGATTAAGTGATACAATCAGTTAGACTCTAAAGTTGTTGACCCATGAAAAAACTCCCCAAACAACCAGTGAACAGACTACCACTTTAAAACTATAATATAATTCATTTTTGGTGGTATTTTCAACGTGATGTCCAGCTGGTGGATCAATCAGATAACAGAGATGATTTACTGTACTCAGTATTCTCCATCTCAGAAACTTCTGAATTTAAATTTATTGCCAAAAGGAAGTCAATACCATGATGATGACCTTGGCGACATTTTAGTTTTGTTGTCACTGTTCGCTATCAGTTTTATAGTAAAATATAAATAAATTCTATGCGCCTGACGATTTGTCTGTCAGCTTTTCCCTTGTCTCCATATCGAGAATTTTTTCTCATAGTGCTCTTCACAATCTCTCTAACGTCTAAAGTACCTTCAACCTTCGTGACCGCTTCAAAAGTTTCTGTGATTTTGCAAAGCTCTCGTTCTTTAACGTTATAGAGTAGCCTACTTACTGGATTGTATTTTATTTTTATCTTTTCAACGTAGTATTCATATTATAATATTAGTTATCTCTTAGCTAAAAAATAACAGAGTAACAACTTAAACTACCTTTCAATCATCGGTCTGGCTATGCTTTAATACTTCAACTTATACCTACAGTGAATCGAGATAGACATCAAGCTAGGTCTCTCAGTAGTAGGCTTGTAGAAACGTCTAAATATCCCTTAATTTTCAAATAAATTTTGATATTACTTCTAGCTTCAGTAGCTAGTCAATAGCACACACATCATCTTCCTACTGACGTTAGGTGATATGAATCAAAGTGGGTAGCACTGAGTCAGTTGTGGCAGCTCTGTTCATTTTTCGAAACATGATGTGTTCCATATTATTAAATTCATGTTTCGAGTTCTTCTTTTGAAGCATATCTTGCGTGTTTAGAGTTTTATTGAGATTACTATTATTTCTTGTCCTTCGCCAATACTCATACAGGCTTCACAGTCTCTTGACCTTTCTAAACTGAATCTCATTGCGATTCTTGAAGGTTTGACAACTTAGACTCATGTATTTATGCTACGTTCTACAATGACAGTCCACTGTTTTTACAAATTGTATCTTCCATTTCACTTTTCCATTTCTTAACAAACGACTTTTTAGTTGCACCGTTAAATGACTCGATCCAATTATTATGACGAAATTTCATATTTAATAACACGTATCCATGAATGGTAAATATAAACTTTTTCAGTATACTGTTCATTATAAGCATTTATTAGCAGGGAAAGGCGCATGGAACTGATGAAAGAATATGCTCTAATCCAACATACTGACTCTTCTGGGTAAGTAAAAAGACAAACATAATGATATTGTGTTTTTGAGGAACTCATGTCCTAAACATAATTTCAAACATGAGAGATCTGATTCTTTGTCAGAGACCCTAACCGTCAAATTTTATTGAATAAAAGCATTGCTCAAACTAGTGTAAATTTTGAGGGGTTTTATTAGGGAATTACCGGAACCTAATTTCCCTATTTTCAGGAAATTGCTATAGAGAAGTTTGGTGAAATGGTAGAAAAACCCCGAAATCTTGTTATTTCTTCAATATTTCAGGGATTTCCTCAAAACCTTATAATACTTTGGGCAAATGTTTATATTCATTGATAAAAGTTAGCACAATCTTAGGTTCTCTTCTATACCTTATTAGGAAAAACAACAAGATTATCAATTGTACAGAAACGCCTATTGACTTAATAACAATTACCAAAAATTTACTATGCATCTATCCATTTTTTTCAATTAACTTCGCAAAATAGTTCCAAAGCAATCAAACTACAGTCGGCAACAAGGACCCGCATATGATGGTAGATAAGCATTGTCGTTGTTAAAAGAGTGATGCGTTTATTATATTGTTTATTTAAATTTAAAAGTGTACAAATGATTGTACGTTCACAACTTATGTCTTTACTTCTTAATAACTGTTATTACACTTCCGTTTGATATATCATGTTGTTGTTGAACTCTCCGTGAGTGTTCTACAAAAATAGGGAATAGTTAATCTTCTGCAAATGCAGTATCAAAACAACTTGATTGCTAATAGTACACAAACAAATGCTCAATGCCGTGGCAATCATCCTACCTATAGACCCATAATGCCATGTGAGACGTTGATTACGTGCCAATGGTATAACAATGATGTTTGCTGAATTAAAAACTTACAGTTAGGCATGTGAGCATTTGTGAGGCCAGCTGACAATAAGATAGACAAGAAATTATTGTTTCAGTATAAATGTTTCAGTCAGTCAGCTACAATATACGACCAGGCACATATATGCCCCCAAATGCCCTGGAACGGCCGAGAGTGAGAAAAGACAGCTTGCTCTCTCTCTTGAAATGCCCTCACATAGTCTCGTGCATACAGCCACTGACAGGAAAGTCCTACTCACTGCCTTCTCGCGATGGGGGTGTAGTTCACGAAATTGCGAGGACAAAAAGTGAATGTCCGGCGCTTTAACCGGGTTGGTGGATACGGAGGATCCACCTAGAGAAGTTGGAAAACCATGGTTGCAAACCAATGGTGTACATGGGCTCCAGTATTCTAAAGGAACGATTGGTGTATGAACCATTTGTTTGTCACCCGCTACCATGGGACTGCATCTCCTGACGTTGCTCCACTACCTTGTACATTAGACCTTAAGGTCAAAGGCTCGAGGTGTGGCCCCCTAATTAAACCACCTTTTTCGGTTTGGGTGCCCAGTAAGTATCCCATCCCTCACACAAACCGAATGGTTTGTGTCGCGCATATCTATTTGGAGCCTCCTTGTACCAACGCTTACGTGCTCAAATAAATAAATAATACATCAGTCCAAATTGTCACACTTCATTAGCACAACAAAACGAATACCGAATTCATAGGAGTAGTTACATCAGTGGTAGTAAGATATAGAAATAAATATAAAATTTGAATATGTGATACAAGGAGTAAGAACCGGTTGGTAGCAAGGAAGGTATAAAGTAATTTTAACCCCACAGTTTGAGGAAAAACAGAGAGTGTATACGACTACTCCATTGTGATCAATTTTGAGTCATGTCACCTAGAGTCTCCAACCATTGGTTACGATAGTCACGCGGACCCCAACAAAGTAATCTGCACCTATCAACATGGCTCAGACTAGAAGTTAGTGACTTCAAGCACTGATGCCAGGTTTTGGTTTAGCCGTCCTTAACTTTCTTCCAAACATCCCCCAAACTAGTCGGATTACGCGTCACGGTAATCGGTGTTCAGGCATACGCAACACGTGGGCCAGCCATCTCAGTCGATGAAGATTCACATCGAAGAACAACATCAACTGATTTACCGTCATTCCTTTATACCCTACGTCTAACCTCACAATTACTTACCCGGTGATCCCAGCAGATGTCAGCGATATTTCCAAGACATCTGTGGTCAAATATTAGTAACTTACGAATATCTTCTACTCTTAATGGCCGTAAAGTAAATGAGAACAAGCTGCTAGGCAGTATACTCGTCCTTTGATTGATAGACGGATATCTCGCCTTCGTCATAGTTGACGTAAGCTGGTAAAAGCCAAACGAGCTTTTTGAATCCGTGCAAAGATTTCATCAGACACCAACCCATTAGGGCTGACCAGACTTCCAAGATAAGTAAAGTTGTCAACGCGTTCTACCACTTTACTCCCTATCCTTAGTTCAGGTGTTGTCTTAGGTGAGTCCTTAGGCAAGAACGTGCATTTAGAGGGGGATAAACGCGTCTCAAATATCCTAGCACTGTTACTCAACGCTACCAAAAAACTGTGTATTTTGTCAGTATCTTCACCAAACAGGGTTATGTCATCAACGTATTCTAAGTCGATAAGTGGACCTCCATGTAGGAAATCAATTCCTGGAAATTCAGACAACAAGCACTTTATTCCCATCAGTAGGTCTATGATGAAATTGAGCAGAAATGGAGATAGTGAACAGCCTTGTCGGACACCATATGAGGTTGAGAAATCAGATGACTGTTTGTCATTAGCCCTCACTCGACTGGAATTGCTCGATTAAATAGCCTTCACAGAGTTTGTGTAACTCTGAGATACGCTTTTCAATGACAAACACTGCCACAGAACGTCCCGGTCTACAGAGTCAAATGCTGCTTATAAGTCAAGGAAAACCATCATTGTCGGACAGCGATAAGCATACCTGTGTTCTAAAATCTGAAGAATGGTGAACATGTGGTCGATGCAGCCACGATCAGATTTGAAGACAGCCTGGTTTTCTCATGTTTGCAGTTCACGAGTCTTTGTTAGACGCCCGATAATTATCGAGGCTAGTATTTTAGGCATTATATTAGTCAAATGAATCTATCTTTGGTTATCACATGATGATTGTGATCATTTCTTATATACTGATCACGTAATCATAATCTACATGTTTTGTTTATTTGATAGATTATCACTTCTATCCACATTATATTTACTTTCTGTTAATAAATTTAAGTGGACATGAAACACCGTTTTTATATTTTCTGTTTATATTGAGAAGTCTTCACTGGCCTTATCAAATCATCTGGAACTTTCACTCTAAACTTGATCTACAAGATTCGATCAGTAACTGATGTTAGTAGTAAAAACTTATTATTTTTTTCAATACTTACACTGGAAATTTACAGGAAGAATTCACTTTCAAGTCAAATGATTCAATATAACATAAATTTGAGAAGAATAGATGAAAACATAAGAAAAGTGGAAAGAAAACAAGAAGTATTGAAATGTCAGTTCGAAAAAATTAAACAAAATGCTAAAGAAGAATCTATGTGGGATGTGAATAAATTATTGAATCATTCGTTTAATAATCAAGAAGTTAGTTTGATTTGTCACATATTTGTTGTTAGCACATATCATTTACAGTAGTACCTTCATTGACAAACTTAGATAACAAAGACATCATCATTGAGAGACCAATGCAAAGCATTTTAAAATTACAATCTAATAAAACAGTAAAACAGAAATTTGTTAACAGACATCATGATAAAGTTCACTTTGAATGTTGTAAGAACAACTTAAGAATATCAAGCTCGTAGACATTATTTTTCCTACGAAATATTTATCATGAAGTAGAGTAGATAAAATGCGTTTAAGCCATTCAGTCAGTCAGTTAGTCAGTCAGCTACAACGTAGAGCCATGCACATATATGCATCGGTCCAAGTTGCCATACCGCATTAGCGCAGCAAGATGAACACTGGATTCATAGACGTAGTTACTTCAATGAAGGTAATATATAGAAGAAAGATTGCATATAAAAGTATAGTACAGAAAGAAAGAATTAATTCGTAGAAAGAGGGATATGGAGCGATTTTAATCTCTTAGTTTAAGGGAAGACAGAAAGTGTATACACGTACTCCATTGAGATCAATTTTGAGCCATGTCACCTAGAGTCTCCAACCATTGGTTACGATAGTCACGCGGACCCCAACAAAGTAATCTGCACCTATCAACATGGCTCAGACTAGAAGTTAGTGACTTCAAGCACTGATGCCAGGTTTTGGTTTAGCCGTCCTTAACTTTCTTCCAAACATCCCCCAAACTAGTCGGATTACGCGTCACGGTAATCGGTGTTCAGGCATACGCAACACGTGGGCCAGCCATCTCAGTCGATGAAGATTCACATCGAAGAACAACATCAACTGATTTACCGTCATTCCTTTATACCCTACGTCTAACCTCACAATTACTTACCCGGTGATCCCAGCAGATGTCAGCGATATTTCCAAGACATCTGTGGTCAAATATTAGTAACTTACGAATATCTTCTACTCTTAATGGCCGTAAAGTAAATGAGAACAAGCTGCTAGGCAGTATACTCGTCCTTTGATTGATAGACGGATATCTCGCCTTCGTCATAGTTGACGTAAGCTGGTAAAAGCCAAATGAGCTTTTGAAATCCGTTCTGAGGTACGCTTTTCAATGACAGACACTACCACCGAATCTCGCGATCTATGGAGTCAAATGCTGCTTTAGTGCAAGGATTTCAGAAGAAATATAAATGTTTGTATATAATTCTACTGGAAGAGCAGCAGTTACTTTTTGGTAGAAAATATGAAAGTGATTTTAGTTTATTTTGAAGTCATCAATAAATGAAATCAATTAAATGATATTTAATTATCAATTATTAATAAAGATTAATGTTACATACACAATATTCTGACTGTTCGATAGAGAGTCAAATATAAGCTAGAACAAGAGTTCAATAACAGACGATACAAAAGAGTAGATTGACACATGACAAAATAAATCATTAATTAAATATGATATAATAGACATACCTTTCTATATTCTTTGACTGATTACAGATCAATTCAGTTACATATGTCAATTAGAACTAAGTTTCAGAAGACATGTTTATTTTACACGAAACTAGTCATTTACATGTGTCTGTATTCCAAATTTATTATTTCCCTTAAGATTCAGACGAAGTATTAGTCACTTTGGATGCTCAAACGTTTCAAATATATTCAACTCACTTTCGACACTGGAAATTATATAAACCTCGTATTTTTCAATAGACTATTTTATTTGTTGATTATGTTATATCTGTCATAATTCAGTAGTTTAATGGATAGTGCTTTGTAGTTTGAATCAACATGCTATAAGTCTTAACTTCCTTGGAGAAATCATCAATATTCAGATTCGAGTACATTCTAGTTAGGAAATTTGAATTATATTTCATAGTTCACTTCTAATATCTATTGAAAATATTATCTATATGCACATATACATTGTGGTGGACCAAAAATAATAATCAATTTATTATGTTTAAAAAATTAAGTATTAATATGTTAAATAATACTGGTTAGCGTTTTTTAGCGAGTTATTTTACTACGGGATGGAGTTACTAACTCCTTGTCAAACCCTCCTCCTTTATCCGGGCTTGGGACCGGCAGTAGCTCAAAAGGGGCTCCAGGCGCAGTATATAGAAACTAGTATAAAGAGCTAGAAAAATTTACTGAACATTACTTGAGTTGTCAGGACTTGGCTAGTTCGAGTTACATTTGGTATAATAATGAGATGGTGGTTGCATATAGTCAACAGGAAATCCTGGACCTGGGTTTCGTGCTACTTGGCACTCGTCAGCAAGGTGTACCTGTAATCTTGAGGGAACTGGTGCTCCGTGACGGATTCGATTCCGTGTCACCCAGCTCCACAGTCAGAGACGGTACCACTGAGCTATCCGGGCCTTGACTCACCTGTAGGACTGGGATGTAATCACAACTGATTGATCACTGGGTGGTGATCAATGGCATATGTGTCATGCCATTCTTAGTGTAGGTCAAATGCTATCGACCAAGTTACAAATGTGGCCACTAGTCTAGGTGACTCGACATCGCACGCACTATGTTGAGATGAAATGGTGTTGCACGCGATGTTGAGTCAACTAGACTAGTGGCCACATTGTAACTTGGTTGATACCATCCGATCTGCACTAAGAAGGACTTGACACACATGACATTGATCAACACCCAGTGATCAATCAATTGATATAATAATCTACAATTATAAGTAACTGATAATTCCAAGCGGTATATCCAGGTGGAGTATATAATGAAAATATAGCTGTAATCTGTAAATGTAGATCATAAATACATTCGAGTTTATTTATCATAACAACAGATAATTGAAAACGAGAGACATATATGTGTAGCGGTGTATTTGCAAAATAAAAAACAGTTTTTCGTTTTTGTTATCAGCTTCAACAGGTAATTAAAAGAACGAAACAAATTTTAGATGCACAAGAAATAACGTTGAAATCTATATCATTTAATAACAACGATGACGATGATGATGATTATGACAGTGTGGATAACAATATAAAACATGAAGAATTATACAAATTACCGTTTATTAACCAAACCAGGATCGAAGCACCACAAAAAGATGCTGATTATAACAAAACGAAGAATAAGGAAGAAAGTGACAGAGAGCTAAGGGAAGATGAAGAAGAGAAAGAATTGGGACAAACAAGACAAATCGGTGAAACAACACATGATAATGAATCATCGAATCATGTTCTCCATAAAATTAGATCACCAATATTTTCGGAAGATCTAAATTATTCATCTGATGATTTTTATCAACAATCTAGATTGTTTGATTCAAATATTTTATTGAACAATCATAGCAATGATGTGAAATCTAACAAAAATAATAATTCGCAACATATGGTCATAGAAGAAGGAGAAAAAGAAGGGGAAGGTGATGATACCCAAGAAACAGACGATGAAGAAAAGGTAGAATTAAAATGTGAAAATGTTTATCCAACAGATCCAAATGAAAAGGGAATAATTCAAAAAGGTAAGGTATATCTATTGACGGATGAATTCGTTATTATTATTATTATTATTATTATTGATTTTAAATCTAGACGATATTTGGAATATCGATTGTTTAACCAGTTAAGGAATACGACTGGTTGCTTATTATTTCATTTAGTTTCTTTTCTATTTACATGGATGCTAATCTTGTGTGTAGATTAAGTGATAGTTAAACTCTTTGATAAATCAACAGTTGGAAAATTGATTTAGGTATAAATTTAGCTATAATGTTTACAGTTAGATGACAACCTATCGAAGCTTGAATACTGAACTCCTTAAGGTTGTCCTGTTTCATTGAAATCGGAACAATCAACTTAAGACTAGGCGAAAGTTCTTATCGGTTCCAATTCTTATACTTCATATCATTAAAGCTATAAAGAAGCGTAAGAATGGAACAGTATTAAATACAATAAAAATCTGAATGTATGAATTATGTTTAACGGTCAAAATGTCAAATTGGATAATGGAAATTTTGTAAACTCACCAAACTCATTTTAAGTAAGATAAAAAAACGAATCTAAATGCACTACTAAGATCAATTTTGGGACATTTCACCCAGCTTTTCCAATTGGGGATTATAAATATTGTTCAGATCCCAACACAAAAATCTCCAACTACTGATACTAACTCAGTCTAACAGTCTACGAGCATGCTCATTGATGCTGTTTTTATTTGCTCGCTCTTGAAGGTTTTTCAGTCTGCTCATATGATAGTCATCAAATGTCTAGGTAGGTGGTAGCTAGTCAAGCACAACAAATGTTACAACCATCTTTCTCAAAGAATGTTGATAAGCCCATCAATCACTTACTATTTTAAGTAATATCCTAGAATTAAACTCAGTATTACTTTAACAGACAAGAACGTACTTTAATAACACGAATAATCAAATACTTTTCCCCTAGATAGGAGAAAAGAACACTTGATTACATAATCATTTATGAAACACTAGTGTACTTGTGGTTCACCTAGTAAACCATCATTCTGAATGCTGTTTCACTTGATTCTAGTGAGAGGAGAAAACTGTCATCGAATGAAATTTAACTTAATAAAATAATAGGGCATATATATTGATAGACAACGAGAAACTTCTTTGCATTATTATTATTACCATTAGGATTATTAATCATTATTACTGTTATTTCTGTTGTTCCAATCACTCTCTTATTTATGCTTACTACTGTGTTATAAAGTGTAAGTATTCCTATCTTAATGCATGATCTGGAAATATAGATTAACATGTGATAAGTCATTGTATAATATTGCACATGAAATTATTGTTCAAGCAGACAAATGTATTATATGTTATACCTCTATACTTGTTGATGATTTCCTAGCCTCTTTGTTTCTTTAGGGTAATTACAGTTTTGATTGGATGTATGCTAACATTATACTAAAAAAACTGGAAGGATTTACATTTTATCAATGAGATATTTACATAGTTTGAATGGTGTTTTTTTTATCCATCTAGTTTTATATGTATAAATATGAGTATTTAACATTGATTACCTTGCCATTTCAAACATTCACTTATGTCTTCTCCCCATTAATACACATCAAAATGAGTTATCTTTATCATATTTCATTCTAATTAAAAACTTCAGTTATCAGTTCTAACTGAATTCATGAATTCTGTTGAAAATTCACAAGGATATAATTGGTGAAGATTTAGAGTAAAAATTTAAGAAAATCATGAAGAATTTAGGCAGCATAACAACATGATTATCAAATAAGTGAACTATTGACCTGGAAACATTATTTCTTCTCAAAATAGTCTCCATTTGTGACAGTACATTTTATTAACACTATTCAAAGCATCTATTCACATTGATATATAACAGATGTGTAGCTTGATGTCGAGTCGAGGTCGACTATGATTAACACTACAAAAAGACTACGTGCCAATTAACCGATAAGATCCCCCGTAGGTCAAATATCAGAAGGCAGTTGATGGCTGTGGTCGAGATGTATTTGTTAGCGATCTCGTGGTATCGAAAGTATACCGAGATCGTGCCAGATTACAAGTTGGGTTACTGAGCGTAACCGAATTCGCACAAGGTCACAGTCAACGGAAGAAAAGAACGTCTTTGGTACAGTTAAACAAACAAGTACAGTAAAACAATCACTGGTACAATTGGTTATAATAGTAATTGTTTCCATTACACCAATCGCGTTCTGTTGATAAAAGTAGGTCACTACAGATGAAATGTGGCCAGTAGTGGAATTAAGGATACTCGTTCCGTCCCGTTTGGGACTCGTCAGCTGGATATACTTGCATCGTAGAGTTAATGTTCAGTACTGAACCCCGACACAGTACCATTTCCTTCAAACGCCACTGAATCCAGGAAGCTACTTGCTTTTAAGTGGGTATGAGATCTAAATTCTATTTGAAATAGGATAAGTTACCTCGATGTTGATATTTTTAACTAAAATTTGATCAATCCGAGTTGGTATAGATGCAAAATGATATAGAACAGATAGAATGTTGCTATCAGTGGGATGCAGGGATCCCATTTCTTCCTATTTTGGACTCGTCATCTGCATTCCAAAGACGACGCGCACTGAGGGATATTTAATTTACTCCGTATTCACTTGTATCATAATTCTTATATTAGAGCAATAGGCAAAGGATGCATATATGCCGACTCAGACTGATCAAATGTCAATCAAAAATATCAACAGCGGGATAATTCATACCATGTCAAATGGAATCTGTTTGCATTGTTTGAACTTTTACCTGTTAGTCCAAAGTTGATTGTTTTAACCTTTAATTCCTTTGATACTACTTTATATTCAGGCAAGTATAATGTTAACTACAAATTAAAAAATCTACACAATCATCTCATACTGATAATTTTTATTTTCTCATATTGTGTGATTTTATATGGGTCTAATGTAATGCAATTTTCCTACCGACTACATCCAATCATCTGAAATTTCAGCATAGTATAGGTCGATTCACTTAGACTAGTGGCCCCTTTGCAATTAACTAGCACGGAACTTAAGTTCAATGTTTTTCCTTTAGATAACATCCAACTACCCAACAATTTGAAGGTAATTTATAATATAAACTATTACTAATTAAAGAAACATTGAAAATGGTACAGTATTGGATATCTGTTTAAATCTAATTCAGGATTATTAAACTAAAGACTCTTTGTTATTCGTAGTTATGACTATAAATTACCACATACCTTCACTTCCATTACAACCATCATTATTACATAAAATAATCAACTAGAAATATGCTGAAATATTTCACACATTCACATTACTAAAAAAAAAGTACACAATATACATTTTTTTACTCATTGAGTATAAATATTGAAATTTTTCAGGCACTTTTTTTCCATTGCACTGAATAATTACAAATAAGAAGAATGCATAGCTAAGTTTAGGTCAGTGACTAGTTAATCAATAAGAAAACCCAATAATTTAGTCGTTACCAGTGTAAAACCTAGTATATACGTAAATCAGTACAAGTTACCATGCAGTGTTAATATAGTGAGATAAAATTATTCATACAAATGCTTAAATGGTATAGAATTATGAATAATATCGATGGAAATAGAAAACATTAAGCTTAAATGATATGATTCAGGAAAAAAAATAATGAATTTTCAGAAAAAAAGAGTATTAAGATAATTTCCAAGTCAGAATAATCTAATCTACACGTGACTAAATCCACAGTCTTCAGGTCACATGATAATCATAGAACCATTACATTACAAGTCAAAAATAAACGTATGATTATCAATTTGTAGTCGTCGTTACTCATGATTTGTATAACCCAATATATATGCCTTTATTTTATAAACTTATTTATAGGTATACCATGGTGTATTCATGAATTGTGACACCTTACAGCAGCACATTAAACTAATCCTTGCTTATGCAGCAATATTAAAGTTTAAATATTTTTATTGACATCATGATCCGATCAATGTTAGACCACCATTGAAAATCTGAAAGCACTGGACGGCCGTTTGGTTCTGATATAGGACAGCACAACAGTAAGTGTTACAATCCTATATAACAGAATCGAACCCAGCTCCTTCCGCCTCGCACGTGAACCCTTAATCTCTAGACCACCGAGCCGGCGTCTACTGGAGTGGGGCACATATTTCGTTCTGTTAGGGACTCCTTAGCTGGATTTACTTGCATCCCAGAGTTTGTGTTCACTCTGAGACTTCAATTCATGCCGTTTGCTTCAAATGCCATCGCGTTGTTCACTTAGCTGCTGGTATATCCGGCTGATGACTTCCAAATAGAACAAATTGAGCGCCCTGGATTTCACTGTTAGCCACCATCCATCTCTGCTTAAAATTGCTTGTGACTTAATGGTAATATCAAGGCAATCCGTACAGGGTGCACATATACTAAAGGAAACTAATTGATTACAATTTTAAGCCACAATGGGAAGATTCAAACAATCAATATATTTCAAGTAAACAAATAGTTTTTCATTAAATCACTCTACCTATTTTATGTTTTTACTAATTAACTTTACGATAGTTTAGGTCAATCTTATGAAGAATTTTTAGCAAAAGCAACATTCAGCGTTGAAGATTCAACTTATGATCCAGTTAATGAGTCCAATGAACATGAATCTGAATATGATTCAAAAATATTAAGAAATAATATGAATATAAATGAAGATATGAGGGCATCAAATAAGTTATTTGGTATGTTTATTTACATAAATATAAGTTTACATTGTAATTTAACTTGTCCATTTTATGTATAGTATAAGTTTATTTAAAAATTCATTAATAAAGGCATCATTATAAAAGAGAAATAAAATAGTTTATTCTATAATTAGTTTTGAATGTTAAGTGAAATTACATAGAGAATTATTTAAACCAAATACAAATCAAGATATTATAGACAGATATTTCGTCTTGACTCTGAGTCAGTCAATCAGTCAGCTACAATGTAGGATCAGGCACATATGTGCATAGATCCAAGTTGCCATACCGCATTAGTACAACAAGATGAACACCGAATTCATACAATTAGTTAATTCAATGGTGATAATATATAAAAGAAAGATCGCATCGAAAAACAGTACTGAAAGAAAGAAGTAGTTCGTAGAAAGAAAGATATGAATTGATTTTAATCTCATAGATTAAAGGAAAACAAAGAGTGTATACACCTACGTTATTGTGATCGATTTTGAGGCATGTCACCCATAGTCTCCAACCATTGGTTACGATAGTCACCCGGACTCTGGAATTATTCACTGACGCTAGTTCTTGATACCAAAAGACTAATTACTATTAGAATACGCCTTCATAAAATTAATTTAATTAAAAATTGCAATAAAGTTAGTATTGTATAATAATATAGTAATTTCACATGTAATTAAGAAAATAATGTTGGATGATTCAGTGATTGGAAGAGGAAGGATAAAGTTTGGAATAGAAAACTTAAATATAGAAGTAATCTTGTTCCAGATTGTATTCACATGAATGAAATCGATAGTATAAATTTCTAGAATAGAAGTAAATGATTTTGAAGAGAAGTTTATGTATGTGTATAAAGGAATACGGAATAGTGAAGAACAACAGAAAATATAAATTGATGGCTTAATATAGGTACATAGAAGGAAATTAAAGGTAATGATCAAAAGCAATCAATCCTATTTGGCAGTGTATATACGTGAACTCAAGATAATCTAGCAATCGAAACTAGAAATTGAGGATAGTAAATTTTCAAATATATTACAGTGAAATTAATTTCTTTTTCTTAAAATAATGTTTGATTATAAATGTCTAGATTAACTAAGTTTTTAATACAGACTAAAATTGGCTACGGGAACTATCGAAGAACGTGGAATTAATTGATTAGTTTTCCATTCTAGATAGAAATTAGCTTATATTTAACCTCTCACGTAATAAAACGTATCTTTGTCAGCTGGCAGATACTCATGTGAACGTCCAATAATTCAGAAGGAATTCAATACTAAGTATTTTCGATACTGTAATATAACTTAACACGTTGGGGTTTATATACACTACTGGGGTGTGCAGGTCAAGTGTTCAAAGAGAAACAGGCTCATTAGTTTGGAACTCGAAATTATTTGTTGAAAGTCGATTATTTTAATCACGACGCCAGTGTATTAATAATAGTATAAGCCATTTATTAAGTCCGGGTTAATGTGCTAGACTTTGAAACATGCATTTTGAAATCAGTCTGTTGAATACACAGGATAATAAGCCTCCGTTTAGTCGCTGTAGAATGTAAACAAGTAAATTTGTATCTACTAGTTAGATAACAACCTTTTTAATATGAACCTGGAGATTTTATGTCGACCATTTCTTATGGTGTTAAATGTGATAATTACTGAGAACTCGTAAAGATATTAATGAACAAATTTTTCTCAGCTGTATATATGTGTAGTTAGGTACTTTTATAGTTAATATGGATTTATAAAAATTCAAAATATAATGGTGTTATCAGCATGGAATGTTTGTGCATAATCTTTAGTTTGAAGATATTTTACATTAACTTCCTCAAACTTCCAGTGCTAATGAAGGCCTTATGTCCACCGATGACTAACTTTGAAGGAAATTCATAGGGCCCTAATACGAAGCCGTAACGGGTGGAATTTAGCTATTTCGGGAGTCAGATAGTCATCACTGATGATAAACACTAGTAAACAACTGTAGTTTCTATGGTAGTTTAGTTTGCCTATCGTAGTGACCAAATCAAATTATGTTGACTGGAATACCCCTTATTTTAGGTCTTAAAATACTAGCCAGGTCTGTTGGAGGATAGTTAGACTGAGGAGTAAAACTTAAGATCCGAGAGAAAAGTTGTACTTCCGTTTCTAGTAGGATGTGACTTCAGTAAGGCTGATTAAGTGGTCTAAAAGTAATGTGCTCACTGCAAACGTTTTGGGTTGATGAGGAAAGAAACAATAGTCCAATGCTTTTTGATTTTCAAGGAATATCTGTCTTAAGTATTTCCATAAAGTGTAGACTAAGTGTCAAGGATGATTATTTCGGTACTAATTATGAGTCTGGCATTTTTGGTTGGCGACAGACTCGTTCGAAGTAAAGACTGGCGTCAGACAAGATTGATTACTCTCAACCTTTCTCTTTCTCCTGGTGATTGACTGGATCATGAAGACGTCAAAATCTGGAGGGAAGCATGGGATATAGTGGACATCTAGGATGCAGCTAGCCGATCTAGGCTTCACAAATGATCTGGCCGTTCTATCGCCTGCGCAACAACAAATACAAGAGAAGATGACTAGTGTAACAGCAGTAGGTTTCAACATGCACAAAGGGAAAAGCAAGATTCTCCGATACAACACAGCATGCAGTAATTATTGGTCTTCTCAGAAGTTTGCTTTTCAGTACTGTGTGGTTTTCTCGGCCATTTTAAATACTGTTTTTAAAAAAAATGGAAAAGATAATCAATCACTTTATTCTTCAATTTTAGATTCAACAAATGCTAATCTACTTTCATCATGGACAACTTATAAAACGGAAGACTTAGAGGATGACAGTTTCTATGATTGACAAATAAAAATGTCTATGTAACACATTTCTTCTTTGTTGGGATAAATGATGATAACATTAGTGAGATAACGCTCATATTCCTCAGTACACAGAGACACTAAATTGCTTGGGATGGGTAATGAATGATTTGTCTGTGTATACAATTCACTCGCTCCATACTACATACCTAGTCAGCACTATTCTTCTACATGGCCTCAAGACAACTCAACTTAAAAACACGCGATTCACCTGACTAGTACGTGTATTGTTCAGCAGTTACCAACCGGTAATTCAGTAAGTACACGGGTAAGGAAATATACAAGATTAACTTATCAGAGCATCCACCAATCTGTCTACGCCAACAACTAATCACTATTTTCTTTCGATCAGACAACAATCAGTGTGCGTGAAATTTTGTCTCGTGTCACAATGTTTAGTGAAGAATAAATTATATTGTTAATGAACAGAGCAATACAATTCCATATCCTAAAAAAATTTGATTTCCGGAGTTAATCCATTACTTATGTGTATAGATCTGCCTATTTATTTTAGATTAAGAAGAGTTTTAATCGACCATCTAGCTTTATCGTTAACAAATAACATGATATTAAAGATTCGTTGTACAATAATGAATATCTGATTTATGAACATGAGAACATTTCTGTTGATAATTAAATCACCGAAAGCTTTTTTTTTAATTTTGATTACCAAGAAGTAAGAACGTCACTCAGGTAAGTGTAAATTACATGTAGGAACAGTATAAAGTTTATTAAAATGGCTGACCACTCTGAAGTAAAGGAATAATGATGATGTGCTTTATATATAAACGACTTCCAACTGATCTGTGGAGAAAGTTACGTTGATAGATGTTTCAAGAATTTAATTTCCCGTATTTGCAAGCACCTTCCACAGTGGCCAAGCAAAGGCGTAATTATAACAACCCAAAGTTCCCTTCTACTCCATTTAGTTCGGCCTATGCTCCATTGGGAGTAACAGGCGTAAGTAAGTACTCCATTTAGTTAAAATGAGTCACAGCGCGAATTATTCTTTTATTAATTATATGCCCAAATCTACCAAGTGGCAGAAACATCAATGAAAAAGGCTGAAAGACCGGTGAATTGAATACAGCAGAGATCCCTTTAGACTTTCCTCTTACTGTGGCCAAACTTAGGCACAATAATTGATTATTCAACTAAACTATACTTTGAACTAATTTGAATAAAATATACAGAGACTACCCCTCTACATTTTTGTAACATTAGTTTAACCTAGTGGAATATAATTTTTATTGTATTATTACAGATCTTGCGGAGAACATAATTAGTACTCATTTAACTTTACCATCCGTTACTAAGTTTCTGTTACTCCATACATTACATAGGATTCGACCATATATCTGATTTTTACATACATTAGTGTTTCTCTCTCCCTATTTTACCAATGCTTAACAATATATTTTAAAATACAATAGAAATGTTTAGATGGTGGTCGAAGGTAGTCGACAGGAAACCCTAGATCCGGGTTTCGTGCTATTCAGCACTCATCAGCAAGGTATACCTGTAATCTTGGGGGAACTGGAGCTCCTTGACGGACTCGATCCTGTGTCACCAGCTCCACAGTCAGAGACGGTACCACTGAGCTATCCGGGCCTTGACTCACCTGTAGGACTGGGATGTAATCACAACTGATTGATCACTGGGTGGTGATCAATGTCATGTGTGTCAGGTTGTTCTTAGTGAAGATCAAATGCTATCGACCCGGGTGTAGGGTTTCCTGTCGACTACCTCCAACCACCATCTAATCTCAATATAGTGCACGCAGTGCGAGTCACCTAGACTGGTGGCCACATTCAACTTGGTTGATAGCATTCGATCTGCACTAAGAAGGACTTGACACACACGACATTGATCACCGCCCAGTGATCAATCAATCGTGATTACTATAGAAATGTTTGTTATTACTTACAACTCAGAAATCAAGAATAAATTTGTGTAATGGAGGTTTAATACACAATTAATGCTTGAAAACTACTAAAATAATATTGGAAAGAGCTCTCCGATATCTTATCATTTTGGTCGTATCATACGTTTCCCTATTGACTCATATTCACCTCACTCTGGTATTCGACTAGAATCAAAGTTGCATTTTACTATTTCGTTCACAAAATGTGTTGTGTGATTTCTCAACCCATTCCTTCAATGGTACCGCGTTTATGGGTTAGTTACATTTAAATAGTTCATCTGGACATGTTTCATAGATTATCAATGAATTATCATCAATGTAAAGTAAATAAAAAGAAAGAATAAAGATATGGAATATAGTTGGTTATTGTAAGTAATCCAACTGTTACACTGCAGAGAACTACTTCAAATGAATTTTTCACTATCAGTTGTTGTCCATTTTGTGCCTTATAAAATGAATTAATGATATCTGCTAGTTGGTTTGAAGAGATCAAGCTAAGATTATGCAACACTAACGAAATGATTCAGGAGATAGATAGATGTTCACTTGATTAATATTTGTCTAGTTAGTTGGTTTTGGCAACTTATAAAGTGTTTTTAGCATTTGATGCAATTATCAACATAGGTCCGTTGATTCGTATTTCTCGTAAGCAAAACTAGGGAAATTATAGTATATGGATATGCCAATCCAACTGAGAATAGAGCCTCTTAGACGTGAGGGAAATTTAAGAGGACATGACGAATAGTTTGTATCTCATCAGATGCTGATTAACGGTTCCCTATGTCCAGTTCGAAGGATGCTCAAAAGCGATAAATATATCTGCTGTGCATCCACACGGTAGACACAATGTGAAAGCTCCTGATACAGAGTGCGTTACCAATCGAGTGCACTCGATGTGATGGTAAAAGTATACTATTCTAACGGTCTTGAGAAGCTCACCAGCCAATCAAGAGAGTGTTTCGTTATAAAACAATTACCAATAAAACCATGGTGAACAAATATGCTTGGTATTATTAGTAAACATCTACGTCAGTAGGATTAAACCATGTTGATGACTTTGGGCGATTCTAGAAAGGAAAATGAGACTCACCAATCGTAGTGCAGCTCTTGCAAATGAAATAGACATCTCTAAACGAACGATAAGACTACAAATAATATGAAGTCAAGGAATGCTAGTAGCATAATTCTATTATCCTTCAAGTAACACAAGTAAGTCTGACCATCCTAAACTTAATTCTTCTGTAGTAGCACCACTGCACTCCAGTCTTCCTGACCATTACTTGGTGTGAATATTATTCAGCTGATCTGCCATCACTTCATCCAAATTCGCTGACAGGACAAACTTCGTCATGAGATGATATCCGGAGCCAGACTATTTGTGATTCCGTCTTAAGTATTGTGCATAAGTTCGGCGATCATTAACTCTATTCTGAGCAATTCTTTTTTTCAAGGTCATAAGGACAGTTTAAATATGCAGCTACGTTTTGCGGTAACTTCGATTTCGCGCGAAAATCCTGGGAGACCTATACTGGTTGTGGTTAACTCACTCGAAGTCGTTAGTATAGTATATTTTTACTGATGTGGCTAAGCGCATGGTCAAGGGCGTTTGTGTGATTTCCCAAGATCATGTGTGCATTACGATCTGACCGACACAGGAGAATTATTCACGGACTACCATATATAGGAATGACTGATGAATGCAAAAATTACGTTAGTCATCGTTCACAAGCGGTCTGCTTCTGTCAACCCTAAGACTGGGGACCACAGTAAGTGTCTATACAGTGTGATGAAAACCGTAGAACTATCTTCGACCTTACAAAATCTCTAGAGGTAAACTAAACTGGAGTCATATAGACAAACTTTTGTATGGCACCTGCGTTGATTCACATACTGATGAATTTACCGCAAACCTTAATCAGTTTGACGGTCAAATAAGAAATATAAATACGTTCTAATTTTCAGTTTTCGATAATAAATGATTCATTCTTGTCACCTACATTCTGATTGGATAAAAAGTCTCTTAAGGTCATCCATACATTAAAGTTCGACCTGTATAATCACTACTTACTGAAGCAACTCATGAAACACAGAGTGGTGTAATTGGTCTTCGTTTATACTTGGAGTAAAGGCTAGAGTATTGACACTACCCACTTAACCGGACCGAAGTAGGTGGAGGGGGATTCAAGCCTACAACCTAATGGTTGAGAGCCGAACGCTTCAACCTTAGAGCCACTGCTCAACCGCTTACTGATATGCTATATGGTTAATGATCATCAAGATTACGAAGTAAAATAGTCAGTTTAGTCTTTTTTGTAAAGCTGATCAACATATAGTTGCACAACTTTTAAGCAGTGTCGAGGTGTAGCATGGTATCATGGACACGAATTCATTGAGATGGTTTTATTATAGGCTATGGATAAGTGATAAATAGGATACTGATATTAAATGAAGAAAAAAACCATTCTCTACCACGAATTTTATTTACAGAGTATACATTTCAAATAGAATTAAAACACCAGATGTGATATATATATATATATGAGCTATTTAGTCGTTTTCGGGTATAAATAAAATTTTAAAGTGAACTCATTATAAAATATTCAATGTAATCACAGTTACAACAGAAAACTGATGAACAGGCCTAAACACTATATATATATATATATATATATATATATATATATATTCCTCGTAAATAACTAGTATCAAGAAAGGAGCCTGAAGTATGACAATAGTTAAGAACGTTTACGATTGTAATGGCGCAACGATTCGCCTGACGTAGACGGACTTGAATTACGTTGATTACGAGATCCAGAAGAATTTAGTGAGTTAGTGGAAACACATTCATCTCCAGATAAATATGGTGTACTTGACCGGCTTGCACTTACTATTTGCTTAGCTTCTGATCTATCACTTTCTAAACAGCCATTGTTGGAGGATTGTGAACACGGTAAGTTGGAAGACGGATTATTCATTGAACCCCCATTAACTCCATTAGAGTTGGAATGAGTGGCTTCCTCAATTTCTAACTGTTTACACACTGATGTACTATTGCTAGATGATTGAATTGAGGACATTTTTATTCCAGCTACACCCTTCTTTTCGCAGGTTAACAAATCCCGTTTAATTCGACGCAAACGACCAGAACGATCTTTCCGGATCTTCAAAAACAAGAATGCATTACAAGCATAGTAAAAAAATGACAACTAAGACATTTGAGAAACTAAATGCAAGGCGAATGAAATGTAACATACAAAATGCATGAAATGTATTTTTAGAACATGTAAATAAACTAGCGAAATGCATTTTTTAAAAAGCCTATGAGCAGCCTGGCTTTAGACCTGGTCGTGGCTGCATCGATCATATATTCACCATTCTTCAGATGGACAAGTTATACAAAAATGGAGATTTAATTGATGTCACTTAGTTTTTCGAACTCATTAGTGTAACTTAGCTTCATAAGGAAACTGTGTAAAGCATCAACAATAAAAACTTTTATTTACTAGTTACATTTAAGTGAATTAACGGAAATACTGAGTTGCTTCCAGTAGGAGATGCAAATAAGCAATTGTCTACCAAGCTATGCCAAAAATACTCATGTTATTTATAGATGGCAACTGTCCTCAACATAGAGATACTTGAAAGTTGAACGTTGAAGTGTCATCTATTTCACAAAGTCATAATTTAGTCACGCTTTCATTAGAAACTATTAGTAGAGATCGAAATACTTTGTATATTATTATTAAATAATAATTACTAGAATATGAAAAAGTAACTCTTAAACAGTACTTCTTACTTGAGTCATATTTTTCAAATCTATACTGTATACATAACCTGCAATAGTCAATTCATATGACGATAATTGTCTATTAAATGCATTCTCCAACTCATTACAAGTACGCTCATCGTATTGCCACCAACCTTGAAAACCTTCATAGAACCAAGAATAACTTGGTAATTCATTAGAGTTTGATTCATTGACTGATTGAGGTAAAGTTGACAAGCGTTCACATAAGTCAACAATGTGACTTAATTTATCTTGGTCATTTTCACGTAGATCCCAAACTGAAATTTAAAATAAAACATTAAGCATAAAACCTAATGATTGACTTATTTCTGTAATAACGGATATTTTAACATTGAACTATAATTTAGTATCATACGGACTGATGAGATCCACTTTATATTGGTGACTTAACGGTTAAAATATTTAAGTCTTAATCATTGGGTCATGGATTCAAACATCTTTTCGTCTACTTTGCAATCTGATAGCATCACTAACTCAACGAAACGTAACCTGGGGAGGTGTTAGCGGGACATAGATTGGATTTAAGCATGCTCAATACACAATTGCTTTGGCGCACGCTGATTGGCTGATTCTTATCCAATCAGCGCTAGTCGATACATGGAGAAGACTCTAGATTCGTCTTATGTAAAAACTATAAATATACTAACGGTTTTCCTTTTGTGCTTCTTGCTTCCATCTAACCTTGTTATTTGGAATATAATCTCCTTCCCGCTCAACCGTGTTCCGATTTGGGGCCTTGTCGAGTGAATCTGTGTCCGTGAATACTAAGCAATAGGAATAGCTGGGTTATAACCGTAAGAGAGACAATTATAACACATAATGCTAGTAACCATGTCTGTAATGAGTTTTAAATACATTCACTTATTGTAAACTATCAAATTCCCGACCGTAGCTGCTACCTTGACGTGGTCGTCGGGCTTGCCTGTCATGATGACCCAACCAAGCTATATTGGCTGAAACATATGTTCCCTTAGGTTCGACCATGCCAGTCAGGTCGATTAGAGAACAGTAAGACTAAAAGCAGTAACTCAAGGTCCGAGGGTGAAGTTGTACTGCTGACTGTACAGAGGTGTGACAGCAGTAAGGTGTTTCCCTCGAGCGACCAGTATCTGCAGAGACGCTGCAGATTTCAAAGAAGGAACGGTTAGAAAAGATCGACCCTTAAAATGTCGCACCTTGACTTAACTCACGGATTTCCGTTTCCGGAGGTATGGCCTTTTGAAGAACGGAGCTGACACGCTAAAAACCTCCCATAAAAGTCGTGCGCAACCGGCCTTAAGCAGTTGTCCTTTAGGCTTTGCGGTCACGCTCCCGTGATGCTAAGACCAACACTAATCCAACCTCCATTTCAGGTACCTCAAATATATCCTTCCATGGTGTGGGCAGCCGGGAGGTGACATCAGCCTTCGTACCCGTCACTATCAGATCCTTCCTACATTTCCTAACAACTCTCTTAACTCCGCGACTAATGCTTCTCCCGTTCCTTTATCACCCCGCGCCTCTAGTGCAAACGATTCGAGTACATGGCACGTTATTCCTGGTCTCCAGAAACTACGCTCTAAAATACATGTAGGAGCTTTCAACGTCCGAACACTATGCCAAATAGGACAGCAGGTTTCCTTAGCTAGGACTTTAGAATCTCGAGTCATCGATGTGTGCTGCTTCCTCGAACCGAGCATACAGGATCAGAGCAGCGTCGTTCATTTGACCTCACCATATTAAAATAAAGAACCAACTCGATTCACGCTTCATGTGTCTGGAAGCCCCTATGCTGCTTCCCGTGGCCTTGCTGGTGGTAGGTATAGCATTGAGTTCTAGGGAAGAACTAGCTCTCTTAGATCCCAGTAGACAGTCGTTTGTGCGCTGTCCGACTAAACAGAACAGTAAAGACTCGAAAAGATAGGGACGCTCGTCGTCTCTGCCTACTCTTCCACTGACTGCAGTTCAGATGATGTGAAAGACAAGTTTTACAGAAAGCGTTCCAACCTTCTGAAAAAGTTAGGCGCTCCCACAGCCTTTAGTCAACCTGAATGGCAAGTTAATATAAGTCCTCCAACTCTTTCTGAAATTGAAAAAGCTAAAGGAAATCTGAAGCGTGGGAGAGCAACAGGCCCTGACAGGTTTTATTTATTTTAACACATAGATATCGGTACAAGAAGGCACCAAATACATATGCGCCACACAGATCTCATTTGGTATGTGTGAGGGCTGTGATACTGCCCGGGTGCCCAAACCGACGCAGGTGGTTTTCTTAGGGGGCCACACCCCGAGCCTTCGACCTGAACGTCTGATCCACAAGGCAGTGGAGCATCGTGAGTAGATGCAGTCCCATGGTAGCCGGTGACCAACGATTGGTTCACACGCCATTTGTTCCTTCAGGATACTGGAGCCCATGTGCACCATTGATTTAGGATCCGGTTAAAGCGCCGGACATTCGCTTTTCGTCCTCTCATTTTCGTAAACAACAGTAATGCCACGAGAAGGCAGTGAGTAGGACTTCCCTGGCAGGGGCTGTATACCCGTGGCCGTGTGAGAGCATTTCGAGAGGGAGAGCGGACTCTCCCCATTCTCGGCCGTACCAGGGCATTTGGGGGCTGTCCAGTATTAGCGGTGAGATTGGCTGAGGTGTTAGATAGAATCTAGGAACTGGACGTAATCCTTTCTAACTGGTCTCAACCACTGATTGTGCCAGTCTACAATAAAAGCCAAAAGTCCTCTTGTGACAATCACAGAGGAATCAGTTTGACTAGTGTCTAAAATAATATTTCGACGCCTAACCTGAGCTCGTGAAGAACAGACTAGAGAAGACCAAGCTGGTTTCCAACCTGGACGTGGGTGTATAGACCAGATATTCACACTACGCGAGGTCCTAGAACATAGACACACATTCAGACGCCCTACAATAGTAGTATTTCTCGACCTTAGGGCGGCATTCGACTCTGTTGATCGTGAGGTGCTATGGCAGTGTTTGTCACTGAAAAGAGTACCAAAGAAGTACCTTAACCTTATAAAGGCTCTCTACTCGAACACAACTGGTCGAGTGAGAGCTTATGGCGAACTGTCATCAGAACTGATTACCTCAAGTGGTGTTCGTCAGGGCTGTCCACTCTCTCCAAGATAAATCTGGTGCAAACCAGGAAATGACTTGAATCCGGACAGGTACTTTATAAGAAGCGAAAAATCTTATATGCATTTGAGTCAGCGGTAGCTGATTACAATGTGACCGATTTGAGACTAGGCTTGAGCTGTAGATAGGGGACTCCAGTTCCATATCAGTGATGACTGGTAGAAGTTAGTGATAAACATCAACAGGTTGTGATTTGCACGAAGGTGAAGGTGGTCACCGTTATCTGACCTCAGGCCATCGAATCCCCTTGGTAACCCAAAAGACTCACTTAGAGATTGGAAACCCAGGTTACTACTACCCTAAAACTTTGATAGTAAAATTGATGGTAAAGATTAATAAACTTACCATTTATTAACTTGGGATCATCGAAAAAACGCGACGAGAATCTACTGCGGCACATAGGACATTTTCGCCTGTGGAAGGCACAACCTTTAATGCACAAAAAGCAAAATATATGACCACATGGTAATTGAGCAGGATGAACGAGGTTTTGCAAGCATATGCTGCACTCTAGACTATCAACTGTCATAGAGTGGAAGAAGTTCGGAAAGTTGGTATTCAGTAGAGCTACAAAACAAAATCAGATAGTGAAGTTTTGTACTTAGGTAATCTATGAGGATTTATATATTTAATTACAAACATTGGTGCGCCACACAAGTCATGGGGAAGAAAGATATATATCCGCAAACCTAAGAAAACTAATTTGCGAACAGACCGATCAGGAACTGTTTGTATTAATGGAAAAATTAATAGTGAGAACTGTTGAAAAGTGTATGTATGGTGGTGTATGTCACTGACTGAAGAAGTTTCTGAAGTACTGGACCGAAAACTGGGTGATGTTACTGTTCTGACCTAAGTGATATGAGTTTCAAGAAAATCGACATCATTCAATGTTGGGTTGATGATAAGGATTAACAATATAGTTAGGTTTAGTATAAAATGCTGCACCGAATCGATTTTAGTGCACCAATAACTAAGTGGTGCAAACCATTTACAAAGTACAAGTGCATTTTTGTAACACGTCGTCCGAGGGTTAGTGATACTACTTGTTTGTTGAAACTGAGATAAGCAACGCTCCAACATGCAACCTACTAGATGAGAACAAAATGTCTTAACGAACAACTCTTAAGTACAAGACTAGTTGTTTTATAAAAAAACACTTTCGAAATGGGTTGCTTAACCACATTTATTTATTAATATGTAAAAATTGGTAGTGAGGCAGCAAATTATATACGCGCTACGAAATAAAAATGATTGGAAAGATAGGGAAAGAATGGCGACGATAGTAAAACGAGAACATGAAAAATAATAGAAACGGGTGTATGAGAGTGAAAATATGGTGGGAGAAGCAATTAGGTTAAGAACAATACAGTCAGGAAGGATTGTTTAATCAAAGCATAGGGATCGCCACTGGCTTGTATTCTGAGCCATGCGTGATAACATCTCAAGCCACTCGTACTCAGTTTCTTAGACACCAACCAGTCATGAATGACCAAGTCCTGTACACCTTTCTGTCATACCATGTATCATGTCACTGGTCATCTCAACGGTTTCATCAGGTTGTCCTAGCGTCGACAAATAAAGCATGGTATGGTATTCGTTGGCCCGATATAAGTACGTTCCGAACTCGTGCCACCCAGTGGACTTTTGACGCTGTGCGCAAACACATGTTGAAACTCCGGACTACTAACTTTACATTCTCAGTGAACGTCAGCAATCCTTTGGAGACGATGCTCAAACACGGCGAGTTACTTAACACTCCTTCACCCTTGTTTTCCAGGACGGCGGTAGAGGATTAAGAGAGTTTCGAATTAACTGAAACAATAGCCAACAAGACTAATAAAGCCTTTTGTCATTAAGGTCCCAGAGAAAACCCTACTTCGGCCACTACAATAAGTAGGTTCCCCAACTACAATTAATTATTGAATGTAAAAAAAACTGTTTATAGGGTACGTGCAAAGTATTTAAACTTTCGATGCGGAACACTTCTACGGACAATGTGGCACGGTTTGGTAATCACATCAAATGGCTCAAACAGGACGCGAATACACATAAGAAGCACTTTGGGAAAACAAAGAATCAAAATTTTGTGGTCCGATAATCGAATGTTATGTTCATAGTAAACTGAAGAGACTAAAATTAGTACGAAATTTATAGCAACGACTTACAAACCCTTTCTGAATAGATCAACTGGTTTGTAGTGGGCGCTGCTGTATTACTTCATTGTGAATTAGGAGAGATATTTCTTGGAAAATGCAAATTTTTATATTTTAATTAAATTCCGTTAGTTATTTTACAAATTTTATGTTTCTTGTTTAAGTGTACTGTCTTTCAATGGCAGCTCCTGCGTTTATGTAAGTTGGATGTATATCTCGTTTTCTGTTTTATTCAAAAGAAAATAATATTTTTAAACCGTTTAAAAGCATGTAGTCCATGTAAAGAAAGCTTCGTTTTTGCAGTTTCCCTCTATCATACCCTGTTTTTAACCATTCATAAGTTTATTTGTATTGAATTCCGTTTTTTATTGGCTTGAATGGTCTAGACAGTACATGTTTTTGAATGAAACACTACAACCTTTAGTATGACATGTTCGCTATTATCCAAGGAATTCTGGTTTCGCTGACTACAGAAGTTACTATGGTATTCAGTCAGTTTCGAGGGTGTATCAGTCTTCACTGGCAAGCACAAGAAATCAGCTGACCAAGTATTTGAAAGTGTTTACTTACAGGGATGGTGTCACTTTGGGTGTATTGCCTCGCCTGTCGACAACAATACTCCACCCTTTGGTCATGATTTTAAAACATTTTCGTAGTGACCTAGGAGATGACTAGCCCTACTTCACTGCAACTGTCCGTTAGTTGTCACTTGACATCAACCAGGATGTCTGCACCATATGATGTAACTAATGAGCATTAAGTTTTGTGTACCCGATTGTAAGTCACACTTTTTTTTATGGAAATTATCGACGTTGCTCGATTTTCCATATCAATATAAATAGATAAACTAAGTCTTGAATCTTAAAACAGCATAGCACTTTTTTGTTGGGGTTTTTATTTTTAGTAGAAATAATAATTAATATAATCCTGAGCGATACATGGTGTACAACGATGAAGCATGTTCAAATGTTAAATTGTTTATGTAACTGGGTTGCTGACGTCGACCATGGTGACTTGTTGTAGACTGACCATTTCACTTGGCCTCGGTGTGTAGTGCTAAGTGTAGAAGCCACTTCGGTGACGTTCGTAACGTGTTCTAATCATGGCAGCGTGTCCCAGTCCAATGACATTTACTGATCTATTGTCGTCGCACGAACACAACCGTACCTCATTGCTAGTTGTCGCTGAATGTCCACAACCCTTTAGAGAAAACGACGATCAAACACAGTTGTCTAACTCCCTCAACTCCAAGAGGTCATATCTCGCAAGCATGAAACAAAACTGTTCTCATTGACACATTGTAGACCCAACCCTTTACATTCATATTATCACGCAGATGACAAAGTTGGTTGAGATCGGCATTTTCTCATTCCATAGCTCAGACAATCTGAGTTTATTGATACTTACTTTGTTATTTTCAATTGAGTCATTCTATTTGTGGAAACATAAAGTTGTTTCTTCTAATCATTTTACTTTCCAAAATGTCGATGGCGAATTCGATTTGTGGTTTGATTGGACAACTTAATATAACCGCGCTTCCAGAATGAAACAGAAATATGTTTTGTGTTTTTACTCTACCCAAGGTGTAGGTGTACAGAAGATGTTAGCGAACTTCGCAAACAATCCAACTAATCGCAGTTGATTCTGTTATCAACAAACAACCATTGTTGGCTTGCTATAAGTGTGGTGTTCTAACATTCATTGAAGGGGGAAGATGTGACTGTCACATTCATGATTTGATCAGAAACCAGTCTGCGAAATATGGTGTAAATAATGATAATTTTTCGCCTGTTTTGCAACTCTACATCTTAGCCATTTCTGAAAAACTAAAACTTATGGTTTTTTCTTTGATGGTGCATTAGATTTTTCCAGTTACCAATTATTACATTCGTCTTATTAATTGCTCATTGTTAATGGCTTTAAATCCAGTCTTGTTGATAATCTTGTAACGTACACCTGACTGTCATGTCTTTAATGTAGTCCTTGAAACAGGAGGAATGTTGCTGACTAATATTTGGCCGTATCGTCATAAAATTGCTTGCACATTGCGAAACACCTTATTGACATTGCTAAATCTAAGCTAAAAGTCGAGTGCCTAATCCGCTGAAATATAGAAAACTGTTTGATAAGGCTGTGAATGTTCGTCAGTCGAGATTCCTCGCATATAAGTAGCCCCAATAACCGTCTGCCTCGACGGCCATTTCTGCCTAGTGTGGGAGTAGACTGAAGAATATTTACTAGAGACCAAACTCTTCCACTTGATCCTGCGTTTCACTATTAACTGATACCTTTTATGCTCTTTTTCCTGGGACCATATTTCTAGTCTTGCTATTACTGACACTTATCTCGAATCTTGCTACTCTCTTTATCGACTTCACCTCATTGTTCTGAAATGGCGTAACTTATTGAACCGAATCACATTTATGCCATGTCCTACGTCTTAATAAGGATAACATGCTTATAACTTACCCTGTGTAGTGGTTTTACGGCATATAGGATGTTTCTGGGACTTCATGTGTTTCCATTTTGTTTTAGAGTATGAATTGATCTCAAGAATGGATTACGCCAAACTTAGTAGCTATCGACACGCCGATCCTTTAAAAGTACGTCAAGTTTGGGATGCTTTTGGTGTACTTAAGTCTCACCGACTAGCAGTACCAGCAGATAAAATTAGCAAAATTCTTCGCAAAACATTGGATCTAAAAGATGATCAAATAAGGTTACTCCTTGATGAAATTGAAGGTGATGGATTAATTGAAAAAATAGAGCCTCCGTTCGGTAAAAATGGTATGGTTCGTTACCAGCTTCCTGACTTTTCAAAACAGCATCCTAGAGGCAAACATGATTGGTATTGCTTCCAGTGCCATAGGCCTGGTGAAGTTTTACGCTGTCTCGATTGTTTCCGTGTATATCATTCTGATTGTGTTCAAGAAGCATCTGGTCCTAATAGTCCATCAAGAAAGTCTATGCGTTCACCAACTCTTCATGATGGGCAGGAAGATAATTTTACTTGTCCTGTATGCGAATCTCGACCGAAATGTGAATTCTCCCGTAAGCAGATAAGAAAGCTATTGGAATTTGCAACCCATCAATTGAGGAAGCAGCCATTGTGGAAAACATTCATTCAAGTTGGTTATAAAGGTGAAATAACAAAAAATGAGTACCTTGTGTATAAGTACACTGATCTAGAGTTATTGCAACGCAAGATAAAAGATGGTCGGTATGCTGCTTTAGAGGAATTTTCTATGGATGTACAATTGCTTGTTCATGATGTCTGCATTCTTCATGGCCCTTATAGTAATCAAGCCGATGAGATACGATTTTTCTTTCGATCTGTTAATGCAGAATTAAATGAAATCCAATTATGTACTGACTGTTATATCAATGCTAAGGCTCGTGTTACAGACTGGATTAGTAAACCCTGCAAACCACGTCATGAACTGATTTGGGCACGCAATCGCACATCAGCAGGGGCTGGTCTGTTTAACGATACTTCAGTCTCTCAATTCTATTGGCCTGCAAAAGTTTTGTTGGAACGCGATGATGGATATGAGGTAAGTTGCCTATTTTATTATCATGAACGTTTTGTAGCGAACACGTAATCAAGACTGACAGTCTAGGGAAACAGGGCTTATTAATTACAAACGACCAATAATTGAACTCACGTTACGTTTCCTTAGAATATGGTTAGGCTTAGATTCCTATTCTGTGCGGCTGTCTGACTAGTTTATTTATCCCTTATATAATACACGTGGCTCGACCTAACACATGTATTCGAAGTTTCTATGAAATAAATCGACCTTTATCTGTTTCAAGAAATTTACTTTCGAACCATACCTACTCGGCAAACAAATATGTATAATGATGTTTCAATACCAAGTAAAAACTTCATAGCTCAGACAATCTGAGTTTATTGATACATTGTTATTTTCAATTGAGTCATTCTATTTGTGGATACACAAAGTTGTTTTGTCTAATCATTTTACTTTACAAGTGTTCAGTAGCAAATCTCAAAGTTGTCTTTAATTTTGAGACTCATTAAGTTGAGTTTATTCACTTAGTTCCAAATTCTTCGAATAAGTATAGCAAATTTCGGGTTTAATTTCATAGATTTTATCCTTTTCTTTTTTAATGTGCGTTCTAGATACGCTTCTTTGGAGGCTCCCATGAGCGGATGTTCGTAAAGAAAGCCCATACTCGTGCTTTTCACCTCCCAGCTGATGAAGTTGGTGTACTTCGACGTTCTAACGCAACAGGTGCGATCTCAGGTGGAGGATTTGAACGAGCTTGGAATGAAGTTAGTAAATTACAAGCTAACATCGATAGTGGATATTACACACATTCTTCTGGTGAAAGCGATCTTCCCCCATCTGATGATGATTACTCGGACGAAATGTATCTTGGTCCGCGGCGTAAAACTGCCATCCAGAGCCAACGTTCACATCGTGCAGATAGTCCTAGATCGTCTCTTACTTCTGGTAATACCAAGGCTAATAAAAGAAGGTAATCAAACTGCATTTTCTCACGTTTTATATGTGTCTTTTGCATGACACTAAGTGGTTCTCTTATGTAGCTGGTGCCACTGCATTACGTAATCATTTGTCATATTGTATTGACTTTTCTCAGGTATTTTGTACATAATTGTACTTTTTATACCCGAACTTCTCTGTAACATTTTCTTCGTTGTCTTCTGTGTCAGCTTAGCTAGTTATGCTTGATTGACCGCATCATTCGATGAACGAGAACACGAGTGGGGACGATCGACAGCTTAAAATTATACATGCCCTTATCACCCTTATTAAGCACAGTTGTGCTTCATTTTTTGCCCGTGGTAGTAATACTACCGAATTGTCTAAACAAACCAGGCTGGGTTGAGTTGTAACGTGTGACTTGATGATTCCATGCTAACTTTTAGCTTTGAACTGCTCATCACTTAGTATTAATATTTATTGGTATTTAAGTATATATGTTAAAGTTTATTCTTGATTTTACTAGAACTTATTAAAATATTAGGAGGTTCTGTGCTCTTCACGTTTCGATTTCCCAACATTTTAACGTTTAGTTTGGAAGATGAAAAATTTTGCAGTCTTAATTGTCTTTTTTATTTTTTATACAGGCGTCACACTTCTTCAAGCAGTCATCAAACGACTACTAGTGATACTCCTACTGGTGGCTCACCCACTCGTGATGTCTCACCATGTACTCATGGTGGCAAGCACTTCAGAACCCATGGTCTCTTGCTTAATTCACACACCGATCTTACTGACAAAAGATTAGCTAGTAATCGTCTTCCAATGCCGGTTGTTCAACCCGGTACTCCGGGCGCTGCAGCTATATCCGCCTTAGCAGAGACAAAAGCAGCTATGGCAGCTGCAGTTGGGTCTGGTCGTAGGCCCGCTGGATCATTTACTGCTGATCTCTTATCTTTAACTCATCGTGAGCATGATAAACCTTATCGAAAACAATCAAAAGAAAATCATTCAAATATTCCGATTCGTGGTCAGCGGGGTCGAGGGAGACCTCCTCTCCGAGATAGCAAGGGAAGACCTATTCGGCGCCGTAAATACCGAAGTTCGTCCTCATCACCCCATTCTTCAGATAGCCCATCTTCATCTGTTTCATCAGGTTCCTTGTCAGGAGTAGATGTTCCTCGCACCGCAAATAACGGTTCTCAAAACAACTGGTGTTCTAATGTGAGTACATTTTCTTATTATGCTGTTTTTGTAATTTGCTTAATGTGACTTTAATTAGTCGATGTATATGCATTCTCCAGGAGTCTAACCAGTCAACTAAGTTACTTGTTATTCTGAAATTATTTGATATTTAAGGCTTACCAAATTATGTCATGAGTCAATTAGCACTATACAGGTTTTCTGTTGAATATAACTAATGGTATTCGTAACGATGTGTATTAATCGAAATTTGCGTTCGTATTTTGAGTGACAAAAAATGTCTAAATATTTAAAAAATAATGGTTTTATTCTTGATAGTAAGAAAATAATTTCCTTTTAATAAAAATTTAACTAAATTCTCTGTTAGGGGTTTTGGTTATATTTTATGCATTCTCTATTTACTGACAGTTTCGGAAAGAAAGTACATAAGGTACTAATGTTATTGATGTATATAGTTTACTTAAAAAATTTGTAGGCCTATTTGCTACCATGTTCGTCACCATACTTATTTTACCCAGACTATCGAATTGGATGAACATTATAGTCACAGTATCGTTACTTATTATTAGAGAAATATAGTATTATCTGTAATACTAAGATAGAACATTTTAGGATTTCAGTGCACGTATTAATCTGGTATATACCTTCCATTAACTCCCATTCAGCAAAAAAATAATATAAACATATCAACGTAAAGCCCCACAAAAAAGCGCATAGATACACCTTGTTATACTTCAAAGCAGCGTAAAAAGAGGACAACTAGAATAATATCAAAACAAATGGAATACGTTTAAACGAGGAAATAAATAAATAGCCATATTATAATCAGGACTCGAAAGATAAGGTCTGTTAGAGAGATAAGACTTTATGGTGGTTTGATATGACAAAATCCCCATTTGTTAAACTTATTGAATAGAATGTTGATCGATAAATGTACTCAATGATGCTATGTGCTCGAAAGATAGATACTTATGAGACCGTGTTATTGACGTAGGTCCTTGGGTGATTAGAAACCAAAGACAAGACCACTAGCCAGGTGAGTAGTTTTCATATGTATACAGTTCGTTCTGGCTCAGATACTTACTCATGAGAATGTGCTTGATTTGAATAGAAGCTAATACTGTCAGAAGTATCACGACCCTTCCGTCAGTTCTTTCCAGCGTTGACATGGCAGTATTGATGTCTATCAGTTCGAAGTTAAGTAAAAACGACTATTATTATTGGTTCGTGTGCACAAATAATAACTCCTACTTTGACGGGCGATGTTTTTTGGTACAGGAGTGGGCTAAAAGAAAGCTAACGGCGTTCGTCTTTCCCCGAATTCGGAGGTTCTAAATTTCTTATAAATGTTTTTGTTTTGTTTATATTTCACTCATTTATATGTTCTTTTCGAATTGTATCTTCCATGCCTTATCTTTCCTATTACTACTGATACTGTTACTACCTCTACTATTCTGGGATTCGGCTTGATAACTTAATCTCGGTGTGCTAATCGGGGTATGGAAACTTGGACCAATCTACATACGCACAGGTTCTGCGTTGTGATTAATAAACACTAACGAGCGTCTGAAAATATTTCCTTGTGCCCCAACCTCTACTTGCTCTTCGAAGTTGTGTACTTCAGAGACTGCTTTTGTAACCTTAATTTTACATACTATAACCCAACAGTTTTTGCTCGACTCACTAACATTGTATCAGTATTTGCATTCCAGCGAGTATTGTCCGACTGTCACCATGATATACATCTTAACCATCGTGAATAGGTAGAAGCCTTCTCGAAATCGTTCTGTATTTCTTGCGATAACCCAACTAAAATAATCAGATATCTTCATTTAAAAAATGCATAATTTTGTATAATTTATCCATTATTCAGATTAGTTGTAACATTCCCTATGAATAATTATTTTGTAGGGCCAGTGAAATTCCACTGAGCCCTAGCCATTGAATATCGAACAAAATCATCAATCCTCGTCAATGTCAAGGACAACCAACGCGCATCAGTTAATCGTACGCCATGGACTGGCCCATGCGGCAGTGGTCTTACCTTCGCTTGTATCTACTTTAACTATACATTTCTGTAATAACGTCCTCTGTGTTGTACGGTCTTCAAAGCATCTATAGTACCTTGATACGTCAATGGGGTAATCTATGTAAGGTGCAGACCGCGTAGTGTGACTTCGACGTTAGCTAGTTTGTCACACCACTCACGTCTAACTCGAGTAAGCCTCCAATCATTTCGACATAGATCATCCACGCTGGTGATCTACAATTTATTCCCGCTATTCGTTACATGACTAAATCAGATATTTTTATTTGAAATTCCTAATAAACTGGTTTCACTGGAAACTTAAATGTGTTGTTCTCTTTACAATACGGCTTGATGAAGATTCCTTTATTTGTTTTGTCTTACTAGTCCTCTACTGATTGGAAAGTTAAAAAGACTGAAATGCCACGTCGTGGACGTCCACCTAAATCTAGAGGTCGTGTAAAAGCTGGTAAGTTTTTTTCCATAATTTGATTCATATTCGTCTTGGTGATAATAAGAGTTGTGAGGACTTTCTTATTGATTTAAATTTAATTTTCACTAACTGGCATTTAATAAAATAATCAAAAATCTTAGATATCACTCATCTATCTTGACTTAAAATGTATCATAAATTGCTTTACCTGTTATCAGACAACTTAGCGATCGTTTCCATAATATTTCTGCCCTTTGAAAACAGTTTAATCTGTGTTTAACGGGAGCCGTCCAGTTCCCTCTGATTTTTAATATTTTTCCAAATGGTTTCAATTCCGTGGAATATATTCAAATATTATCATAGTCAATGTATTTCCGGTGAACATGCTGGATAAACAGTCTTCTGGACTTTCGTTTTGTTGTTAACAAGTATATTACTTATCTTCATGGTGGTTATGCGGTGGTTTTTAGCATTCAGTTTCTAAATTAAATATCAGAAGTTTACTTTTATATGTCAAGAAAATGTAACATTATCGTTTCACCACCTAATTTTCATGATTTCGATTCTTGAGTCACGTGCTACAGGATGAGTAGTGTATTCAGCCGTAATGCTTGCATAACTTACAGTTGTCCTCGTGATGCAGTTTGCTTATTTCCGTCATGTATGTCCTATCCGCTTCTAACGTTTTTTCCTAATTTCCTCTTCAGCTGGAAGCTGGTTTGTTCTCTCCCACAGCAGGCTGTTGCTGATGGTATCCGGCCAGCGGATATTGAGTATCGTGTGCAGATAACTGTTTATAAATACTTGTATCATTTCGATGATGTTTGTAGTACTCTAAGTTTCAGCTCCGTACAGTAGGGCTGTCATGATTTTCGTATTGAAGATTCAGACTTTGATATTGGTTGACAGACAGTTGTTTTTAGTTCCATGTTTTCTCCGATTGTAGGAATGCTGGCTTTGCTCTGCTAATCCTCACCTTTACGTCTACATCAGATCCTCCTTGTTCGTCGACGATGCTTCACAGGTACGTGAAACTGTCCAAATCTCCCCCAGTTTCTTCAATCGTGATTGGGTTGGTTGGTGTTCTGCATGTTTACTTGAGGATCTTGGTTTTTCCCTTGTGTATGTCGAGGCCTACTGCTGCTACACTAGTTGTGTTCACCTTCATTTGTCACTGTGTATGAGATGTAAGAGTTAGGTGATCTGTAAAGTCCAAATCGTTCAGTTGATTCCGAGCTGTCCACTGTATTCCATGCTTCCTCTCAGATGTCGAGGTCTTCATAGTTCAGTCAACCACTAGAAGAAAAAGGAAGGGCGAGAGTATGAAGCCTTGTCTGACTCAGGTCATTACTTGAAATGCATCTGTCAGTTGTCCTCTTTGCACTGTAGTCCGTCGTACGAATTCCGTATGACATTGACGGTCTTCTCAGGCACATCATAGTGTCGAAGAAGTTTCCATAATGTTCTCCTATTCACACCGTCAAACGCCTCATAGTCAATGAAGTTGATTTATAATGACTAATTCCACTCAACTGATTGTCCGACGATGATCTCTAGTATCGCAATTTGATCTGTGCACGACCGATCCTTACGGAATCCAGCTTGTTGATCTCGAAGTTGGGCGTCTACTGAGTCGGTTCAGCAACACTGTTGTAAACATTTCCTGGTACTGACAGTAGTTAATGCCTCTGTAGTTTTTACGTTCGCTCAGGTCTTTCTTTGGTCTCTTGATTAGGTGTCCTTTCCAGTCCATCGGCACTTGTTCTTCCTCCCAAATCTTCCTGAATAGAAGGTGAAGCATACTTGCAGCTACTTCGATGTCTGATTTCAGTGCTTCAGCTGGTATGTTGTCAGGTCCTGATGCTTTCCCGCTCTTGATTTGTCTGATGGCCATCCTGATTTATTCGACTGTTTGTGGAGTGACAGATATAGGAAGGTCTATGCGTGCTGCTTCGATGTCCGTGTATTTAATGGAGTCAGGTCTATTCAAGAGTTCCTCGAATTATTCCATCTGTGGCTGTCGTTATTCAATATAATTCTTAGACTTCGTATACTGCTCGTCTTGATAACCGTTACTAAATAATGTCTCCAACGGTGTAAAAATCAGATGTATACAAGGCGTTGACTACGTTTATTATCGCACTACACACAGATCACCAAAACGACAGGCACACGAAGCAAGAATGATATGCGAATGCCGAAGAGCAAACGAGTGAGTCAATGAACAAGAATAATATATATATGCGTGGCCGGTAAACAGTGCTCAAGCATACAAGCACAACAATAATAGAAGTACTATAGTATAGAAAAGTTTTGTTGTACGAATGACTCTGTCTGTTAAACAATTTAATAAAAAGTCCTAACGAAATTAAATGTGAACAAGCTTTTTGATTTTGATTATTACCTTGAAGGAGTCCAGACAAGTTTGCTGGACGAAACGTTGGAATTATTTAAATTTCAATCTCTGATCTTATTTTAAATATAATTTTCACATATAATAACTTCTCTATACTCAGCGCCTAATTTTTATCTAACCATTCGTTCTAATATTGACGAATATTCATGTAAACTCAAATGTATGTGAGCTTCTATACGTCCCACGATATCTTCATATCCGGTATTGTTCATTCAGTCTCTGGCGTTTATGTCTCCCATCATGATGGTTAGATCCTTTCTTGGTCACTTCGCTAGGATCTATTGCAGCCTCTCATAGAAATGATCTTTATTGTCGTCGTTGGTGGGTGCATAACATTGGATAAAATTCATCGTGGTTCTCTTCTTTGTTTTGAAGGATGTTTTGATGGTCCTGGATCCGTAAGATGCCCATCTTATAAGTGCATTGCGTGCTTCTTTCAACAGCATTAGAGCAACTTCCTGAGGGTGTGGAGCATTTTCCTCTTCGTGACCGGAGTACAGCAGCATCTCTCTCGTATCTAGCCTTCACTGTCCAGCTTGTATTCAATGAGTTTCGCTGATTCCGAGTACTGCCAAATTGTGTCTCCTTATTTCCGTTGCTATTTGACTAGTCCTCCCGGTCTCACGTTTTCCGGACGTTCCATGTACCTATAAAAATTGCTGCTCTTGTTGTTAGACAAAGCATCGGCCTTGTGACTTCCAAAAAATCTCAGCTTTCACCATGAGACGTCATAATTCTTCCTTCAACTCGAAGGGCAGAGTTTAAATGGTTTAGTTAGTTTAATCTGGTTTCCGGTTTTTTAGCAAAAATTTTTTCTACGAGATAGGGTTGTCGACCATGTGTCCAACCCTTCTTCTTTACCCAAGCTTGGGACCGGTAATAACTGTAGGAGTGCTACAGGTGGAGTTTTTGTCTTTTCTGTAGTACTCTAGAACTAGTTAAAATACCATAATCTCAATGTTTTTGCAGTGGCAGAGATCTAACTTTCTTCCTTGTTATTCTTTCCCACTCCCTGTTTTAAGAGTAATATACTTTCACTAGTAGTCATAATTCGCTATGACACATTAGTAAATATATCTAGGGAAAGTAATTTCAGGATTTGTTCCAATCATTCAAACTCTTAATATGCACTTTATGCTGTTTTAAATAAATCGTAGATTTCTTCAAAGTAATTGTTATACTTCGTTTATCACTCGTTCTGGTAAGCGTTATTAGATAACTCCCAATGGTGTATGAATTTCAGAAGACAATGTACTAACTGCAGTTTGTGATTGTATAGGACAGACCACAAGTACATGAAACAAATATGAAAATGCTATCGCGAGGAAATAAAGGAATATATAATTTAAGTAATATATATAGGAGCAAGCTGATGAATCATCGGACGATTTAAGTAAGTAATATTTAAGCTAGTTAGAGGAATATGTGTGGGTTGTAACACGCGACCAAGCATACATGATCATCAAAGGATGTGAATAATAGCCTAATAATAGCCTAAAGGCATAAACAAACTGTTATCGACACAAATGACACTATTGAATAAGTTAATCGGGTAAATCATACTATGCTAATGACCTTAGGCGAGTTATCAGCTTATCAGAAGACTGTCTAGTTATGAAACAATTAACAATTAAAAGTAACGGAACAGTGAAATAATAGCTTTGACCTGCCTAATTAACCCTCACATGTCAAGTTATCCCTTGTAGTAATGGAGAAAGGTCAAATTTACATTATAGGAGTCAGGCTAGTGTTGTGAATTAATGCTATCACACTATGGAGTTTTCTTCATCAACTGTCATCAGCCTTAATGCTATGTTTTGCCACCCTTCTATTTGAAAACTTAAGATTTAAGGTAAGAGTTAAAAAGGGAGAATATTACCTAGCTTCATTAACATTTGACTAATTAAATCATATCGAGCACTTAATCACACAGTCTGCCTCCGGAGCAGATATGTTTCGTAATTTAGCTTAAGCATTATCCTAGATTTACTTTCTCATTTCTTAATGGATATTTTCATTAATTAAGTTTTATGAGAACCAACTATTGTCGGTTTTCACTTAATTCATAATAACATACAAATTACCAGTCACTTCAATTTAAATTTGACGCTTTAATGACACAAAAGAAGTTCATTCATGAGAATTTAACTTCCTAAGTATCATGTGTAGCATTATTATTGTAGATTCATTTGCTTTTCATTTCACTCTTCTGTACTGTATATTTCACCGATATTTTTTCTCGAATTTATCTACATTTATCAATTCAAAATAATCCACTATTCCATTTAGTGTATAAATCAACCTGGTTTACTTTCGTCTCTGAATCTTAAAGTTGTTTGGAGAACATCCTTTCATGTTAACTAAATTTAACTTTCATTTTAACTACATTACTACCGTTTCTTCATAACTTATGTAGTTAATGATGTTGGTCGTTCAAGTTGGTGTTCACCAACAGCTGAAAGTTCAGATGCTGAAGGCAATTCGGAATTGTGGACGAAATCGGGTTCCTCAAGTGTTATAAAACCTGTAAGTGTATCTTTTTGGAACTTGTACTTGTTTTGAAATGGAAAATTTAATTACAAATTCCTCATTCTTTACTATTTAGGCTCATAAACTATTTGACTCATAATGCTTTAATATACAAGCTATCTTATTATTCTGTCATTTTGTGCAACATTGATTTTATACACACAAACCATTTGTGCATATTTTATCCATTTCTTTCTTAGTAGGACAATATAAGTCTCTAAAATTCTGAGCCTTACGTATAGCCTATTAACGTGAGTATAGTTTTTGGAACAATTGAGACCACTAAATCTTTTCGCTCACTTAAATTGGGATGTCTGTGTATGTGGTTTTTAAGCTGTTAATAAACCTCTTAGATTACATTTTAATAATATTTTAGATTTTCTGATGTTTCGTGACTCAGTGTAAGCCACTTCTCCAGAGAATAAATCACCAATCTACCCAATGTTCAATTTATTCGAAATTATCAAGTCTATCCTTGGTAATGATACCTACAAATTCACACTTTGTTTGAATCTTAGATGGTGATCAATACACGTCAATAATGAATTATACTATAATCTTACTGTTCTTTCTATAACGTAGTCTCAATACATATAACTCTTTAGAACACATCCTAGTCATTATCATTATTTTCTGCTGACTAGCCGTTAACAATCCCTAATTGTTTTCCATTTATTTATTGACTTCATTTTCAATGTAATTTGACCGGTATTATTGATTTTATTGTATGTCTCAATGTGATGTGGTGACCCCGTCATATACAAAGTATGGGCGATCAATAATCGATAACGAGTTAGCAATTTCACTAGGTTACATTACTGTCAATAATATGCTGAAACATCACAACTCCACTCGAAGTAATCTGACATGTATTCGGCCTCTAATAGCAAAGAATATAAACAAAAATATTTTTGTAGGCTTCGCACAAGTGAATTGATCGCATTTTAAGCACCCCAAGTAATCCATTTTCAGTTTAGGAGTGGTAGATTAATCCGATCTCCGCTTACCGCTCGAATGAACTAGCAGGGTTCCCACCACCACCCAGTGGCTCCACGTGGAGGTTTGAGTCGGATTTTGTTTCCATGTTATCTAACAGCTAACTCAAATTAACATGAAACAATGCCTAACATTAGATGAGACCTTTGTAAATCACGTTTATTCTCCGTTTAGAGTTCTCCTCTGTGTTAACGAAAAAATATTAATAATTACCAAAGCTAGATATGCAACTAAAAATAATCTCGACGGAAATGTAACCGAGTTTAGATTATTGTTTTGCATATACTTTTCTATTTAACGTTATATTGAAATTTTATCATGCTTTGCTGAGATAGTTATTTATTTAGAATAAAACTTCTATTCAATCGTTATTTCCTACTAACTAATTACAAATATTACCAACCTAATGTGAACTTTGTAAATATCGTTTTTGTCAAAAAGAAACTAAATTATCATAATGACTAACTTGCTTCAAGTTTCATGTGCATGTTATCTAAAATCCACACATGTTGAGTAGTCCATCTTTTTTACTGCCATTATCTCACAGTATACACTAATTTTTCCATAGGTTTTACTCACTATGCTCATATGTTGAAATTCTCACTAGGTTTACATTACATTTTTAATGACGCGCCGTTAAAATAACTCTTCCCTCGTTTCCAATTGTTGCTCTAATTATTAGCCTTATTTGACCATTTTAGAGTCCAACTCGAGGACGACCGAAGTTAGCTGCTTCAAATAGCTCTCTTAATCGTATTGAAGATGCTAAAAGAAAACGGTTAACGATCCCAAGTAAAACTTCGATTCAAGATACAGCGAATTCCGGAGGTAAACGTTCTAAAAACTATTCCAAACAAATGGATAGTTTTGGTAATGTTAGGGATGAAGATGATGAGCTAACTGACCGATGTGATTCTCCCATTGGAAACGACAGTCAGAATTTGAAGCACTCGAATAACTATCGTTGGCATTCGCATCATTCATCAAGTGTTTACAACACATCGGGTACACCTGTTTCTTCAATGAGAAAATCAGGAACTAATGATTTGAGTATCCATAAAACGTCGCCATCTAAGAAGGCATCTACTGCTAAACAGCGTTCTTCTCATTCTAGCAATTATAGTACATGCTCTTCACCCTCTTCTTCTGATATGGATGACAACGACGAAAGTGGACACAGACATCGTAATATTGTCAAAGTTGACGATGAAGATGATGACCGTAGATTCCGTAGTCCAACTCGTAGTGGTTCAAGCAACAAGGATAGAACTTCTGGAACAAGCAGTACAATGTTACGTCGACCGCCATTCGCTCCTCCTTTGAATACATCTGGATCCATTAGTAATTCGAACGCTACTAATGATCGAAACAGTCTATCTACTGCTACAAACTTATTTTCTCATACTGGTCAAAATCTTTTTTCGCCATGCAATGATTCAGTTGTTACAATGAATTCCTCAGTGAATTCAGGAACTTCATCCACTAATAACAGACTAAGTGGTTCCGTTCATCCTACTACATCTAATGCCAATCTTTCTTCACATTTTATATCTTCAGGTGCCTTGTCTAGCAATTCAAATAATGTTGCTACTACTCCCGGAATGTCTACTCTTCCACGTTCACACTTGCCGCCAAATAAACGTGCTGCTGCAGCAGCTACAGCTGCAGCTCTAAACAGAGACTCAGTTGGAGGAGGAGTAAATGATGTTTCAAATGAAACTAATCAACGTCAAGCTTCAGTGAAAAGTCCTGAACTTTCTGTGACATCCTCTCCAAGAAAGCAACTTCATAAAGGAATTCAGGTAAGCTGTTATAATCTGTCAAAAAAATATTTTTTATAATTTTTGACCAGTGATTGTATAATTTGAAGCTTTTTATTGGTTATAATTTATTATTGGGATGTCCTACTTCGAAAGAAATTTATTAATAATGTTATTTTTATTATTATTATTATTTTATTTTAACACATAAGTATAGGTACAGGGAGGCACCAAATATATATGCGCACACAGACCTCATTTGGTATGTGTGAGGGCTGTGATACTGCCCGGGTGCCCAAACCGAAGCAGGTGGTTTTCTTAGGGGGCCACACCCCGAGCCTTTGACCTAAGGGTCTAACCCACAAGGCAGTGGAGCATCGTGAGGAGATGCAGTCCCATGGAAGCCGGTGACCAAAAGTTGGTTCATACGCCATTTGTTCCTTCAGGATACTGGAGCCCATGTGCACCATTGATTTGGGATCCGGTTATAGCGCCGGACATTCGCTTTTCGTCCTCCCATTTTCGTAAACAACAGTAATGCCACGAGAAGGCAGTGAGTAGGACTTCCCTGGCAGAGGCTATATACGCGTGGCCGTGTGAGAGTATTTCGAGAGGGAGAGCGGACTCATCACTCTCGGCCGTACCAGGGCATTTGGGGTTATTAATAAATCTGGTAGTTTAATTTCCTTACATTCTAACTTATTTCTGCTATTTTATTCTCTATATGTATGTTGTTTTTTTTCTCGAATCAGCTTGATAAAAAAATATCTGACTTTATCAACATTCTCTTTTATTTAGCGCTTATTGTCGAAGAATTCTAATTTTATATATTTTGTTTATTCATTTTTTTCGTCACTTAGACCCCAGCTAGTATGGAGATACCGACATCATCTCAACAACCATGTTCACAGTGTAAGGAACGTGAAGCAGAACGGTTGACTGCAGCTAATGATACTAAAAGAGCTTTGCGAGAACTTGAAGAGAAACTTATAGCTCAATTTAAAGAAGAGAAAGCTGCCGCTTTACATTCAGCTCTTGAACAAGCTCAAGCCAGTGCTCGTGAGGCTATTGAACATGAGCGTAAATTAGCTCATGATACTTTGGAAGCTGCTGAGGCAAGATTCGCAGAAGTTATTGTTCAGACTAAACGTCGACAGTGGTGTCGTAATTGTCTTATGGAGGCTATCTATCATTGTTGTTGGAATACTTCCTACTGTAGTACACAATGCCAACAAGAGCATTGGCAAAAAGAACATAAACGTCAGTGTCGTAGAAAACGATGATTTGCAATCATACACATACCTTATATATATATATATATATATATATATATATATATATATATATATATATACCAACCTTGTATATAATCCTGTTATTTTGTCTATTCCACATACATGTACATTACTTTTGCCCTCGTTATAATTATAATCCCTGATTATGCTACATCAATAATTGTTATGTTTTTCGATTTCTGTTTATTTGTTATTCACAATCATGGACATAGTCAATCTCTTTACCCCACCCCCAAGAAAGAAAAGCATTTCAGTAATTTTTCACTTCAAATCTTTCGGTTTCTTAATATATATATGTATAGGCAGCTGTTCATTTCCGATTATCTTTTCTTATTATATACAAACTAATTAAATCGTAATAATTCAGCTTTAAAACTAAAATCATACATTGCATAGCCACTATTAATACTCATTTGTGTTTATGTGTGTATGATGTATTTTCAATTTACTTTCTTTCTTCTAACTTGCGTTTATTTAAAACTGTAGTCTGATTGTGACTGCTTTTTTATTCTTGTATTATAGTCGTTTTAATTTCTTTTCTCATCGTTATATTTATTTATTTAAATATAAGTTTTCATGTGTTGTACAGTACTATCTATTCATTTGTATACGATTGATGTGTTGAATACACTTATTTTCAAGTATCTTCTATTAGACATCACTGTTACACATCAAATACAATGAAGTTTACAAGAGTTTCTTAATTAAATTATAATTTTTCATTGTCTTAATTGTTAAACTTTTGTGCTTTATTCAATCTGAATTAAGTTATTTCTTTCTCAAAAATGACACTTTCTACACATTTTAGCGGGCGTCGTATTGTATTGTTCACTTCCAATAAATACTGGTGTTTCACATCTATACAAATATACATATATATATATATATATTGTTCAACTGTGTTCATATCTTCATTTTTTGTTAGAATGAATAATCAAGGCTGTTGGTTACGTTAGATTTTAGTTAACTTTCATTAAAGTGAATAAGTTATATCATTTGATAATAGTCTGAGCTTTTTGGTCTTTCAGCATGCCTACAATTGAAGAATTAAAAAATAGTAAAGTGGATTCTTCAATAGAAAACAAAAATTCTAATTTACGAAAATTATTATTAGAGGATACTCTTGATGTTGCTCCTATTGGCCTAACATTCTGTTTTGATCGTGAATCATTTCTAAATGTAAGCGTTTTTTTAAACTAATTTTGAATGCATTTGTCTGCTGTGTGAAAATGGATTTTGAAGTTTTTCGGTTCAATCCCGATAGTGATGCATATACATCTTATGAAACAATTGTTTGCTAGTTAAAGAATTAAAAATATTTGACCTTCAGACTCTACTTATTAGTATCTAAATTAGTATGTATTCATTTCAGTGAATAAAAAGTAATGAATCAGTTTTTAATAAAATGTCCAATTTATTTGTGATCAATATCAGAAGGGGTTTTGTGAATATCTCACGAGGCGAGATCGTGGAGGAGTCCCACAGTAGGGCGAAACGGCCGTCCAGTACTTCCAGGTTTTTCATGGTGGTCTAGCTTCAATTGACTCATGATATTAACTACTAAAATTATTTGGAATTATCAAGTCAAACCTTGGTAATGATCAGTTCTGTTTCTTAACTTTTTCAGTATATTTGTGTAAACTCACACATAAATAACATAACTATGTTCTAAAGATATTCACTTCTCAATAATACAGGATTATGTCCAACAATTCTATGTCTACCTCCTGACTTTAAATCTTTATCAAATTGGATTGGTTATTGAATATCTTTTATTTCTTTGTTCTTTTATGGTAGGGTACAGGTGTTCGTCATTTTTCATTCTAACAATATTAATGGGAGATAAAGTGTTTTACATAGAGTCCTGTTTATCGTCACCGTAGCGAAAGTTTCAGTATATACTTTCAAAAGCCTTTCACCATATAATCATTTTCCTATAAATTCTTGCATAGTCTGGTATTATTCCTTATACGATGGTATATATGGCTTTACTGCGAACTTTGTTTATTATCCTACTATAAGCTTTTCGTCTGGTTCATACGTGTCAAGTATGACTCATTAACAAACTAAATCCTTTTTATAATCAAAGGTTTTATAGGGTGTAGTATTAAATTCCACATGTATGTATTTATGTTGTCGCACATTACGACGAGATAGCAATTTCAGAAGTCTGTTCAAACTTTTATGTTGCCTATTTTAAATAAACCGCATATACTACTGACAGACGCTATCATAAGAAACAACTTGTAAATTATTGCTATACTCATTACTGAAAAGCTCGTACAAAGTCATCTTGTTTTTTTATATATTTTTTCTTTTTGTCTATCATATAAGGAAACAAATATATTAGAATCCACTCATCCTGTATGTGGTGTAGCAGCTGAACTAGTAGGAAATTTCCACAGTTGAAGATAGGTAACGAATACTGAAATTTCTGGAATATTTATTAAAGACCTTTAGACCAATTACAATTCGAAAGCATGATGTACAGAAATTTGTCGCAATGTAATACAAGCGATATTGAAAATTCCTTACTAGTATTTAATGCACCAATTATTCATATCAACAGGAAATAGTAATAGTGTTTACACAATAAAAGACGAAAAAATAAAACGATAAAGAGTTAGAACAATGTGATAGTTATTTTAATTAGGTAAATGAATAAGTTCATTTACTTCACTATAATAATATGAAATCTGGGCTCTGGCTACTGCGAACTTACAATTGTCATTACAGAACGATGCAGACCACAGTGTGGTTTTTTCTCATACTCCAAGTAGCTTTCCACTTGAAAGTAGGCTTTTAAGGTCAGATCACATATCGTTCAGTTAATTGTTTCGATCTGAACCATATTTGATAACTGCGATTAGTGGAGTAGAAGACTTGAGTTTTTTTTATGACTCATTAGCTGGATAAAGTTGTCAGGACATCCCAAATTTCTTCCCTTACTGTCATTTTTAGTAATATATATATATATATATTTTTTTTCTTAATGTATGGCGTGATGATTCGTTCGATTCAATGAACTGTAGAAATAGGAATGATCCAACTTCATAATGTACTGAATAAATATTATTTCTGAGAATCATCTTTCACGAAGAGAAGTAGAAATGGGTGTTATTATTGTACGTAAATGAGTGATGTGGAAAATAGTTATGGAAAAATTAGACAAGTCCCAATATATATATATATATATATATATATATATATATATATATATATATATATATATATATATATCATACCTTGTGTAATATATTAACACAAGTTTAGTGTTCTACCCATTAAACTATAAATTTTTGTCTGATCATCCCTGTCTAAAATCGATAGCTTTTGATTGTGTGGTATAGTTGTTAGTATCTGAGTTAAATCATATAGTGTGCGAATATTGATCGAATATACCTTATGTGCTCCGTGTATACAGTGGAAGATTAAGTCGTTTTTACAATGAATGGAATGTCCACTATTCAAATACAGATTATTGGTGTATGTATGTGTGTTAGCAAGTAAAATCAGTTATTCTTTTAGAACAAAATGCATACAGTTCAATCACTTCCATTCATAATCCACCATCTATTGTACATCTGGATATAGTTGATGACCGGTTCGTTGCATTACATATCACACGTATTCTTCTACCACACGCTAATGACTGGTTTGTCCCTAAATGCCATGGTAAGGCCGAGGGTGGGGAGAGTCCCCTATTCCTCTCGAAATTTTCTCACGTATACGGTCATTGCCAGAGAAGTCCTACTCAATGCCTTCTCGCGGTGGGGGTATTGTGGACGAAAAGCTAATGTCCGGTACTTTACTTGAGTTTGTGGTGGATACGGAGGATGCACCTAGGGGAGTTGGAAAACCTTGATTCCAAACCAATGATGCACATGTGTTTCAGGATCGTGAGGGAACAAATGACATATGAACCTATTGTTGGTCACCGGCTACCATGGAGCTGCATCTCCTAATGTTGTTCCACTGCCTTGTGGATTAGACCTTTATGTCAAAGGCTCGGTATGTGACCCCCTAAACAAAATTATATCCAGAGGGTTTCTAATTTGGGATCGTCTATTGGTTGAGAACCGAATTACCTAACCACTAAGCGGTACATGTATGGTCTTATCATTCATATGGATGTCTTGTAATCCTTGCGTAAATCTGCAAAAATGATGATTAAGGAAGTTTTATGAAATTGTTATTTTGGTATTTGAGATATATGAAACAGTATGTCGATCTGTCATCAAGTTTTTTCAACACGTAGCTATAAAGTAATTTATATTCACACTAGTTCTTTTTTGAAAATATTTTCACAGGATGACTTTAAACCAGACGATTTTATTTTGGAGCAACATTGTCGTGGGATATCATTAGAAAAACTTCGTGATGATCTTCTTCAATATTCTAATATTCTTAAGTCCAGTTTAATTGAATTGATCAATCAAGATTATGCTGATTTTGTAAGTCTATCAACAAATCTTGTTGGTTTGGATAAATCAATTGATACAATTGTCACACCATTGAAACAACTACAATCTTATGTATCGGTGAGCATTTTTTATTAATTCTTTGCATGTATTGAATATTTGTGCAATATTGTAAAACGTGGAGTTTCTGACTTATTCGATTTAGGTATCAAGTTTTGATTAGTGTAAATTTATATCTTTGTCTATACCTCATTAGCACAACAAGACGAATAGCAAATTCATAAAAGTAGTTACTTTAATGGTAGTAATATATATAAATAAAGATTACATGTGAGAATATTATACGGGGAAAAAATTAGTTCTCAGCAAGGAGAGTATAAAGTAATTTTAATCTCACAGTTTAAGGGAAGACAGAGAGTACATAATTTACGAGTATCCTCTACTCCTAATCGCCACGTTTCGCAGCCGTAAAGTAGAACAGAACGAACTACTTCTCAGTATACTCGTCCCTTAATCGATAGACGGATATCTTGCCTTCGCCATAGGTGACGTAAGTTGGGAAAAGCCAAACGAATCCGTGCTGAGATTTCATCAGACACCAACCCATTACGGT